GGTTTTCCCTCAAATTAGGCTGCTCTTTTACAATTTAAAAATCCTTATATTTTGGAATTTAGTGATTAAGTCAAATGGCTCTGTGCACCCTCTGAGATCATGATTCTTGTCCCTTGAGTTTTCTTTTTCTAGACCATTGAGTACCCCCCACCCCAAAAGCTTTTTTATTTCCATATGTCAGTTTTTACCTTCAACATCATTATCTTTTGGGGTTAGTCATTGAAGCAGGTTTTTCCCCCCCCTTCAAAAAAGTGTTGTATACTGTGCTTCTCAGAACGATAGTACCAGGGATACAAAGATGAGGCAGCGTGCCCGAAACTATAGGACAGACACGGTGTCAGTTTTACCTGAAGATTTAAAGTCTAATTAATGCCCAGTACATAGAAGTTGCTTCGTAGATTATAGCTTCCTTCCTTCACCACTCATTTTGGGGTAGGGGATGCCTTCAGATCTTTAATCCATCTTTAATTTCCCATTTCTATATCATACTGAGGAGGAGTTTTTTTTCTTCCCAGCAGGGATGGCTAAATTATCTCAGAACATTATTAAAAGTTCACAATTTTCCATCTGGTATCATTTTCATAGCAATTTGAAATGTAATTTTTGTCATAAGTGGAATATTTCAGTCTCTGGTCTCTTGCTGTCATTGATCTATTTCTAAATACTGTGTTGATTTTTTTTTTTAATCTTAACCAGCTTTTTGTTTTATTATTTTTAACTATAATTTTTCTGTTTTGTTTCCTTAAATTCAGTTCTTTTATTTCTTCTGTTGATGCTGGGTTTGTTCCTTTTCTAGTTTCTTAAGGTGGAAGCTTAGGTTATTGATATGAGATCTTATGGATGTTTAGTGCTATGAATTTCCCTCTAAGCACTGCTTTAAGCTGTATCACACAAATTTTGGTATGTCATGTTTTCATTTTCATTCAGTTCAAAATACTCTTCTTCCTGAAGGAACTTCTTTAACATTCCTTGTACCGCATATCTGCTGGTGACCATCTTTTTCAGCTCTTGTATGTCTGAAAGGTCTTCATTTTGCCTGCATTTTTAAGTGATATTTTCACAGGGTATAGAATTCTAGGTTGACACCTTTTTTTTCTTTTATAACTTAAAATATATTCCCCTGTCTTCTGGCTTGCATCGTTTTCCACAAGGAGTCTCTTGTCATTCTTGTTCCTCTTTGCAGTATGATACTTTTAAGATTTTCTCTTTGTCCCTTGCATATGCTGTATTTTGTTCCAATTTTAGCATATGTGCTGCTGAAGCGAGCACAAGTATGATGTATTTTGGTGGTGTTTCTTCATGTTTCTTGTGCTTGAGGTTTATTGGCCTTTTTGATTTGTGGGTTTATAGTTACCATCAAATTTGGAAAATTTTGGCCATTAGTTTTTAAATATTGTCTTTTTTTTTTTTTTTTTGGAGATTGCTGCCCTATATTAGGGCACTTGATATTGTCCCATAGCTCACTGATGCTCTGGTCTTTTCCTTTCTGCCTCAGCCTTTTTTTCTCTTTGTGCTTCGTTTTAGATAATTTCTACTGTGGGTGTTTAGGTTCAGTAATACTTTTGGTGTCTATGAATCCCATTCAGTATTTCTCATCTCTAGAAGTTAGATTGGGTCTTTTTTATATCTTCTGTGTCATTCCTTAACATGCTTATGCTTTCCTCTGTGTTCTTGGACATAGGGATTATAGCTAGAATAACTGATTTAATGTCCTCATCTAGTAATTCAAACTTCTGTGTCATTTCTAGGTCTGTTTTAATGGTTGTTTTTTTCCCCCCTTATTTTGGGTCATATTTTTCACTTGTGCATGCCTGGCAATTTTTGATTGGATGCCAGATACTATGAAATGTCACTTTCTTTAATACTGAATATTTTTGCATTCCTTTACATATTCTTAAGCTTTGTTCTGGGGTACAGCTAAGTTATTTGAAAACAGCTTGATTCTTTTGAGGCTTGCTTTTTCAGACAAGACCAGAATGACCTTTAGAAAAGGGCTAATTTGGGGGCACTGGGTGGTTCAGTCAGTTAAGCATCTGCCTTCAGCTCAGGTCATGATCCTAGGGTCCTGGGATGGAGCCCTGCATTGGGCTCCCTGCTCAGCAGGGAGTCGGCTTCTCCCTCCGCCTCCTCCTCTGGCTTGTGCTCTCTCTCTCGCTTTCTCTTTCTCTTTCTCTGTCAAATAAATAAAATCTGTAAGAAAAAAGAAAAGGGCTGATTTTTTTTCCCCATCACTGAAGCAATCAATACCTTTCTCAGTGCCTCATGTGTTATGAGGTTTTTCCATTCTGGAGCTATTCCTGGGCTTGTGTAAGCTTTGGGGATTGTTTCTCCTCTGTTTTTCCAGTGATTCATTCCTTGGCTTCTGGTAGTTTCCCTCCATGCTTAACACGGATCATATGAAGGTTCAGGGGACCCCACTGCAGATATCTGGAGCTCTTTTTGTATCTCAGGCCTTCTGTCTGATCACTATTCTACCTGAAGCCTTCTATCTATAATCCTTTAGAACTCCCTTTAAGGGAGAGTTTATCTGTGGTAAACTCTTTTTGTTTTTTTCTAAAAACGTGTTTCATATTTAAGGATAATTCCAGTGATACATAATTATATGTTGACAGCAATTTTTACTTAGAATTTTGAAGATATTCCAAACTTCTGGCTTCCACTGTTGTTGTTGAGAAGTCATTTCTTTTTATTTATTCTACTTAGGATTCACTGTTCTTCCTGATTCCAGAGAATTGGTATGACTACAGATCTGGGAAATACCTTTTAGAATATTGATTCTTCCTTTTTTTTTTTTTTTAATAATTTTATTTCTTTGTCAGAGTGCACACAAGCAGGGGGCGTGGCAGACAGAGGGAGAAGCAAGCTCCCTGCTGAGCAAGGAGCCCAATGGAGGACCCTGGGATCATGACCTGAGCCGAAGGCAGACACTTAACAGACTGAGCCACCCAGGCATCCCTAGAATATTGCTTCTTCCTTGCTATTTAGTGTTATATTTTGAGGGATTCTAAGTAAACATGTTAGATCTTCTCCCTATAACTTTTTTTTTTAAGATTTTATTTTTAAGTAATCTTACACCCAATGTGGGGCTTGAACTCACAACCCTGAGATCAAGAGTCAGATGCTGACTGAGCCAGCCAGGCACCCCGCTTGCCTGTAACTTTCAACTACTTATTTCTTTGTCTCTCTGTCCTGCATCCTGGAAGAGTTTTGGGGTTGTCTTTCTCTTTCTAGTATGCAGTATTATCTATTTTTTGAGTTTGTTTTTCTTGACTAAGTAGGTACAAGAGAACTCTTTGTTGAGACAAAAGGATATTTGTAAGTTACAAAGAATCATAATGCAGTGAATACCTGTCTACTCAACATCAAGTTTTAGAAAAAGAACTTTATCATTACCTTGGGGTCCTGTATTCCTCTCCATTCCAGCCCTTTTCCCTCTTCTCAAAGTAACTGCTATTACGGTTTTTGTGTTTATTGTTACCCTGTTTTATTTATACTTTTGCTACATATGTTTGTGTTTTTAAATATTTTCTTAGTTTCACAGCCTTTTAAACTTTATGTAAATGTAACCATTTTGCAGGTATTTTTTGCTCCTTTTATTATTTAGTATTGTACTCTGACATTTGTCCATATTGTTGCGTATGCTGCAATTCTCATTACTCCATTGAGGTCTTTTCCCCGTTGAGTTCTAAATTTTACTTAATTTTTCATTCCAGAAGTTCTGTTATTTTTTTTTAAATCTACTTGATCATTTTTCATTATAATTTTTAAGGTTTCTTCCTCATTAGCAAGCTAAGTCTTTGATTTATTTACCATATTAAACGTATTTTCTGTTCTCTGATCATTTTCAATATCTGAAATCTTTGATAGATTGATTCTGCTGGCTGTTGATCATAGTATTCTTGTTACAGTTTGTTATTTTGACTGCATCATTTTCTTTGGAATTTCATTCTTGAGAACTCTTTGCAATTCCAGAGAATATTTGGTGGTGTCTCTGGGTTATGTGGAGCATAACCAACCTGAGAATAATTTATAAAACATTCTTCCCTGAGTGTTGTCAGATAACGTAGCTTGAATTGTGGCCACCCAATTTGTGTGAAGGGAAATATTCTTTTTCTGAGTAGACACTTCCAGTCATGGCCAAAACGGGCAACATTATTGCTCCCTGTCCTGCACAATGGGTGTTTCTCTCACTGATTTTTATGCTGATGGTATAGCCTTATGGTGTTGAATGGCATGGGGAGGAGGCCTGGCTTAACTTGCCTTGGCTCTGTTAGTCCTTAGCTTTTTCTTCTGCTTCTGTGGATCTCAAGAGTCTCAAGACAAAATCAAGAGTCACCAGCACTGGATTTGGTAGCCAGCCCTTGAGGCCAAAGCCAGCTAGCTTAGAGGTTTCCAAAATTCTTGCTGTCTCTTCATGTTTGGCTTTATCAGTTCATTCAAAAAAGTTTTTTAACCATCATTTTTGGTTGTTTACAATAGGAGAGTCATTCCAGGAATTTAATGTTCTATATATTGGAAGTGAAAGATAAATTTCAATTTTTTTTTCCTCTGTCCATTTAAAGACACATCCCAGACGTGATTCCTGAGGTTACTGTGTGTTTGGACATTTTTTATGGGCTTTCTCCCCTTTTACTGTAGCAGTAATTTTTCTAAAATGCATCAGTTCTCCCTGTTTGTGTGAAGAGTTCTTTGAGAGTGGGTCAGGCAATAAGATTAATTGCATTGAACCAGTTTTCAGACAGTCTAGGGAATCATGTATATCCTTAGGACATCTGGCTTAATAAATTTACACTCTCCTAAAGCTGTTGGGAAATACATTTTTAGGTGGGAATACCTCAGACCCAGAAGCACATAAAATGGGTTTTATAATCAGATTTTAGTTTTAGCTTATTTACTTTTGTGTGGTGGCTTTTTCTTTTTTCTTCTGGCTAGAGATAATCAAGTATATGATAGTACAAATATATCATAATAATGTTATCTTTTAAAAATACTTACAGTGAAAGTATGCGAGGCTTAACAGCAAAAGTGACTAGTGGTCTTCTGCCCTTGCCAGAAGTGAGTCTTCAGGCCCTGGAAGATGAAGTCACAGTGGAATCTGTGCTTCATGGAAAGATTGCTGCAGGTATAGTAATGTTGCTGAAAACTTACTGATTCGATTGATTTGTAAGCTAGTAATGAGCATGTATTGTAATTTCCTTTAATGTGGGAGAAAAAAAGAATAGTTAATGGTCTTTATAACTATAAAACATCTACAACTACTTATATAATAACATCTGTATACTCTCGAACACATTTCCAGTGAATCTTGGGTGGTTGTTGTTCATTTTTCCTTATTAAAAATACTGTATACTTTGTATCTTTTAGTGTTGGATATTTATATTTAGAAAGTAGAAATAATACACAGCTGTTCTTTTTTTAAGAGAGAGAGTGAGTGCGCAGGCATGTGCCAGCCAAGGTGGGGGGAGGGAGGAGCAGAGAGAGAGGGAGAGAGAGAGTCTCAAGCAGGCTCCACACCCAGTGCAGAGCCAGATGCAGGGCTCCATCTCACGACCCTGAGATCTTGACTGAGCCGAAATCAAGAGTTGGACGCTCAACCAGCTGAGCCACCCAGGCGCCCCTGTTTTTTCTTTATAATCAGTAAGTTTTATTGGTGAGGAGTTTGGATTAGAACCTAAATAGTCATTATGAGTAGAAAAATCTGATTGTAGGGCCCTGGGTAATACAAAATATTCAGAAAGTCTTGTTTCTTAATTCCACTAATCTGAACAAAATTTTAATATATAGTTTGATTATATAATGCAGCAGAAAACCATACCAGAGTAGCCATTAAATTGTGGATTTCAGTCAAGTGAAATCTTACAGGACACTTTTCTGAAAATGAATTCACACTCATCCATTCTAGCAGGTAGACAGCAAAACTTACCAGTCATTTAAGTAGTAACAGTGCTTAGACAGGCACTGTAACAACTTTTCTTTGAGGTATTAGACCCTCATTGTTCTGTGTGGCTAAGAATCAAATATCCCAGTTACACAGATAGCAAGTGGTGAAAGTGATCTTTGAATCCAGCATGTTTGGGGTCTCCTTTGTGCCATGCTATTTTCTTAAACTAGGTAGCCTCCCTTAACTACAACGAGGCATAGCCAACTGTGTACGTAGATGCACGGTAGACATCACAAATTGAAAAGTTACCACCATTCATCTAGCGGCTCAAGGGAAAATTTGAGTCTGTTCTTGATTCTTGTTTTACTTACCTCCCCACATCTTATTCATCAATAAGCAAATCCTTTTAGTCCTGCTCGAAGATGACTCTCCAGTCAATCCACTTCTGTTTATTCACAGCCACTGACCAGGCAGAGGGTATTCTCTCCCCACGTGGATCCTGTGCTCCCCCTTATTGTCCATTTTCTGCTTAGCAGCTAGAGTAATATTTAACAACATAAATCAGATTGCTTAAAAACCTCCAGTTACTTTATATTTTGTACATAATAAAATCCAAACATAACTAGTAAGGGGTCAAGAAGTGCTTCTGGTATTTCCTATTATACTAGTTATGTCTTCTCAGTTAGAGTTTGAACTCTTCGGCGATAGAATCATGTGTTCCATTTTATGAGCCCTGGAGCACCTGGTTTAATTGTTGAGGTATGACACAGTGTAAGTGTGAATTTTGGAGTTAGACTTGTGATACACTTCTGGCTCTGGTATCTGTAGCCATATATTTTTTTTAAGATTTTACTTATTTATTGGAGCATGAGCAGGGTGGGTGGAAGAGGCAGAGGGAGAAGCAGACTCCCTGTGGAGCAGGGAGCCTGATGTGGAGCTTGATCCCAGGACCCTGAGATCATGACCTGAGCTGAAGGCAGATGCTTAACAAACTGAGCCACCCAGGTACCCCTGTAGCCGTTCATCTGTGAGCAAGTTATTTAACTGTATGAAAGTTAACTGAACTCTGTGTTGTCTTATCTCTGTTGAGGTGTGACAAGGAATAAATGAGATAATCTGTTTTATAGCATATATAAAGGCACCATATAGCATGCATAGTGACTTTACCGAATGGTTACTTTATCATTGAGGTCACAGTTGTTCAATATATTTCACTAATTTGGACCACTCTGTTCTATAAATGCTTAGATTTCACTTTGGAGATAATACATAAAGTTATATATGTAGTGAGCTATGTATTACATATGTAAAAGATCTAACTTTAGTTAGGTGGTGTACATACAGTATTAAAATAAGCAACATTTTTTCTTTTTTTTTTTTCTTTTTTTCTTTCTTCTAGGGAGAAGAGGACTTGCTTGCCTGGCTTGTGGTCAACATCTGGAGGTAGTGCACTCTCTAACAGGAGAGCGGTTGTCTGCGTATAGATTCAGTGCAGTGAATCAACAGCCTCCTGTGATCCTGGCGATGAAGGAATTCTCTTGGCAGAAGAGAGTTGGATTGTTAATTGGATTAGAAGAAGCGGAAGGGAGTGTTCTCTGTCTTTATGACCTTGGCGTGTCCAGAGTGGTTAAAGCAGTTGTTCTTCCTGGAAGGGTAGGTACTGGTTAAGGCCTGTGAGCGGCTGCTTTCAGAGCTGAGCCCCTGCTGAGGACACAGGTGTGTTCACTTTGTGAACGTTCAGTGAGCTGCACATTCATAATTCGTTTACTTTTATGACATTGTGTTAGTTGTCATTAAAAGTTCAAGATCAAAAAGAGATTCAAGATAGTATATTATCAAAAGAACCTAACACTTAAATAGAACTTTCTTATTCTTGGTTACAGAATTGCAGAGTGAAAGTAGGGATGACATCAAGTGTTCTAATATTCTTTTATATGAAAAGTATCATCTGAGTCTTGTTATCTTCAGTTGTGTTTTTCGAGGCTACTGAAAGTTTATATTAGAATATTATGTTCGTTAGTATGGCATTTTTTTGTTTTTTCTTTTTTAATTTGAGACTGTAGCCTTGGAGCACTATGGAAAATATGTCTTCACTGTTGTTTAAGTTTTGAATAATATTTAAATAGCAGATTCATTTCTAATCACCATTTATTCTAATATATGTATGCCTTCCATATGCCAGACATCTTAACCAGTAGTATAGTATACAAGTACTTTGAATTCAGGTTGTTTCTTCAGTAGGTTTATTCCTGCTATTTCATTTGCAAGGAAAAAGTATGTCCTTAACAAATATACTCACACATATAAATACAAAATGATGTAAGAGTAGAATTCTCTCTGTACATAGTGTGGAAAAAATATGTAGCAAATATATAATAGCATATAAACAATATACAATATAGACAATATATAAAAATATATAACAGACAAATGTAGGCATGCGTATAAATGTTCTGTTGTGGTCATAGAATAGCATTTTTAAAGTTAAGAGGGAGATAAATGTCAAAATACTATGTTTTTGCCATTTACAGAAGCTGACTCAGTGGGCAAATATAGGGGTCTGAAGTGGTTTATAGCCTGGTTATCTTAATCTTGCCAGTGCAGATTTTAAAGGCAGAATTAATTTAGCAGTTTATTGAGTGCTTACTCTAGATCAAGCTATGTTCTGGATTTTGGAGATGAGTAGGTAAGTAGAACTTGGTCCACACTGTTAAAAGCTGGTAATCTAGTGGGAGAAGACAGGTCATAAGTTTATAGCATAAATATAATGAGCATTTTGGTAAACTCAAGCACATGGAACGTGGAAACGAAACAGGTGGATAATTTATTCATAGAGGTTGGATGTTTCAGGCAAAGAGACCAGCATGTAAAAAGTCAGTATTTAGAACATTTGGGAGCTGAGCTTATTTGGAATGGCTGTGGGAGAGGGGAAGGCGGAGGTGGGGTCTAGAAGTGCTGAGCGTTCAGATAGTAAATGGCCTTGTTTGCAATTTGTAGCCTCCACCTGAAGTCTCTGGTGAAGTCATTTTAAGTTTAAAGCAGAACTCTATAGTGTAAAAACCTTGTTGGATTGGAGTAGTTCGGGCAGATAATGAAGGTGAGCCGAACCAGGGAAATGACCCTGGAAACAGAGAGGATGGGGCAAATTCAGAATATACTCAGGAGGCAACATGAAGAGGACCTGTTCATCATTTGGTTAAGAGTAATTGAGAAGGAACAAGAGTTTTATTTATTTTTTTTATTTTTTAAAGATTTTTATTTATTTGAGTGAGAGAGAGCACGCGCGTGCGCACATGAGCAGGAGGGAGGGGCAGAGGGAGAGGGAGAAGCAGACTCCCTGGCTGAGCATGGAGCCAAACTTGGGGCTCCATCCCAGGACCCCAAGATCATGACCTGAGCTGAAGGCAGACTCTTTTTTTTTTTTAAAAGATTTTATTTATTTATTTGAGAGAGAGAGAGACACAGCGATAGAGGGAACACAAGCAGGGGGAGTGGGAGAGGGAGAAGCAGGCTTCCAGCCGAGCAGGGAGTCCGATGCGGGGCTTGATCCCAGGACCCTGGGATCATGACGTGAGCCGAAGGCAGACGCTTAATGAATAAGCCACCCCGGTACCCCCTGAAGGCAGACTCTTAACCGACTGAGCCACCCAGGTGCCCCAGAACAAGAGTTCTAGATAAGTTCCTGGTTGCTCAGTTGTGTGGATGGCTGGCATCCCATGGAAGAGGGAGAAGGGAAAGATTAGGAGAGTAGTAATAGATAACCTTCCATACAAGTTTGGTTAACTAGTTGTTTTTTGGCTAGGGCACAGTATCCCCTGTTAAATTTGTTTGCTTTTAACTGCCTTACATTAAAATTAATTAAGGTACCATCATCAGTTAATTCATAGAGTATTTGTATGGGGAATGCAAACAGATAGAGTTCTTAACTCCTGTCTGAGGGAATTGAAGAGACTGCTCTAGTATTTATAGACATTATTGCCATAATTTAGAAAAGACAGTCCATGAAATTACAGCTTTCAGAATTAGAAACACTGTAAAATGTTTTGTGTACCAATGAAATATAGACAGAGCCAGGCTTTTGTCTGTGATAATAAATTACAGCCCGAAACAAACTTATATTAATGCATAAACCATTGATAGTAAATTTCCTCCTTTCTAGGACTCATCAGTATCATAGTAGAAGTCACTAAGTACTTAATTATCATATATCATACCTAATTCTTGTGAATTAATAGGAAACAGAAGGAAAGCTGAGTATAAAATACTGACTATTTATTAGGTACAGACATTTAAAATTTGACTCATGAGAGGAAGGGGTAAAAACATAACATGTAGCTACAGTATGAATTTTTTTAATTTTAATTTTTTTAAAAAAATATTTGACAGCGAGAGAGGGAATACAAGCAGGGGGAGTGGGAGAGGGAGAAACAGGCTTCCTGCAGAGCAGGGAGCCTGATGCGGGGCTCGATCCCAGGATCTGGGACCATGACCTGAGCCGAAGGCAGACGCCTGACGACTGAGGCAGCCAGGCACCCCTACAGTATGATTTTTTAAAAATAATTTAAGTTCTTGTTAAATGTCAGTGATCTAGTCACTGCTGAAGCTTAGTGTGAAGTCCACTATAATATGGCCCTTTTAAAGAAGGTTAGACCTCTTCAGGCTAAGGCATGAGCAAGACTTTTATTTTAAAGAGTAAACAGTAAATTTTTTTGGAATGATTTATTTTTACTCTTCCTTAGAAAAAGAGGCTATCTGATCATGGAGTAGCTGGTTGAGAGCTTTGAAGAGAAAAATCTAGATTTGAGTTTTACACTTAATGTCTGTGTGACTTGAATAACCACAGCTAAACTTTCTAAGTTTCAGGGTGGTTTCACCTTTGAACAGGTAGAATTATATATGATCCAATATCCAGGGTTATCATGAACATTACATGAACCAATTAGCACAAGGCCTGGCATATAGTAAGCTTTCAATAAACATCAATTATTATTCCAGCAGCATGATTTGTTATATATTGAAATAATGGTGTCATTTCTATTTTATCTGAAGATTTCATTATGTTATTCAGATTCACAAGCATCAAATGCAAATTTATAATTCTCTAATAGAAAATGTTTAAATCCATGGTAACTAATAACCTGCTTTAACTTCCAAATTTGTTTACTGTGTTTTTTAATTGTATTTTCTCACTTTGTGTAAGAAAAACAAATGCTGTATTCTGCTTTCTAGGTGACCGCGATTGAACCCATAATTAGTCATGGAGGAGCCAGTGCCGGCACTCAGCATTTGCACCCAAGCCTCCGATGGCTTTTTGGTGTGGCTGCAGTGGTGACCGATGTTGGACAGATCCTTCTTATTGACCTGTGTTTGGATGACATGTCATGCAGTCAGAATGAATTAGAGGCCTCAGGTAATTGAAACCCAGAACTGAGCACCTGAATACTCTGATGCAATGGATTGGTTTTTTTTTCCTAAATAGTGAAAAAATTTTATATAGAAGCTTCTCTTCATGTGTCTTTGTTTCTTTTATTGTTTGGACTTATTGTATTATTGTTTTGGGCACTGGATACTTTTTGCATGAGTTATTCTATTTTATTGATGAGTTATTCATATAGTTAAAGTAGGTATTGAAAGAAATGGAGATTTTGATTTGTTTTTCCATATACACTTGAAAAATAGCTGTAATTAAGTATTTGCCAGAAGAAGGGCTGAAGGTACAAAATCTTGATCTTTATCAGACAGTATAAAACTATCCAGCTGTGTAGGATCTAACTGTTTTTGGCACACTGGTTATGTGCTTACAGTAAGGCCAAGTTAGAAATAAGGTAGTGTAATAGGAAATAAAAGAGTAATCGAAGGTTTTCTTTCACAAAATAACATACTAAAATAGAACTAATGCTTACTCATATTTTTAAAAAGTGAGAATTTTCTTCCTTTAACACTAATAACTCAATGTTTATAAATCTCATCAAGTGCTTTCTGTGCTTTGACTATGGGACATTTAAATGATTGATTTATACAGTGAGGAGAACTAACCTAAAAATCTTAAAAAAGGTATGTGTTATAAAGTTTCAGGAAAGGACCATTTGATCTTGGAGACCTTCTTTATAGTTAAAGCAGTCCTGTACTATTAGGGCAGATCTGTTTCTCTGTGGATCAGCTAAGAAACAAATCATTATTTTATCCCAATTTATAATGAGCATAACTAATAAAAATTGTCAGTGCGTAGTAAAACTAATTAAAACTGCAAGTAGTAAAAATTGTATTTAACCAGAAATTAAAGAACCAAATCAGATTTCTGAGCAAAATTTTAAATTTGTAAAATATGACTTGAAAGAACTTGATTTGGCAGAAATAATGACCACATGGACACTAAAAAAAAAAAAAAAATTCTCACAGTGATAAAAACTTTATCTTAAAATCTGATATATACAAAGATCTGACTGATTAACCCTAGGTAAAGTTTAAAAGAAAAGAATTGACTAGCAGAAATAACAGTAATTAAAAATGTATTTATAGAATATTAGAAGTGCTTGAACTCTTTATATAAAATTAATAGAGGACTTCAATAATCTTGATGGATTTTTGTTCCAGAGTTTTGTAGACAATACCATTCTACATGTAAGGCTAATTAAGATGCTTGTATTCATAATTAAAACTCTCTTCAGGGGCGCCTGGATGGCTCAGTCATTAAGTGTGTGCCTTCGGCTCAGGTCATGATCTCAGGGTCCTGGGATCGAGCTCCGCATAGGGCTCCCTGCTCGGCTGGAAGCCTGCTTCTCCTTCTCCCACTCCCCCTGTTTGTGTTCCCTCTCTCACTGTGTCTCTGTCAAATAATAAATAAAATCTTAAAGAGAAACAAACCTCTCTTCAGACCAAAATAGTGGAGTTAAAACATACTTTATTTCAGAGGTCAGCAATCAGTAGTTGAATTCAGCACAAGGATTTTATAATGGAACTTGGATTCTGATCAGAGATCAGAATCCTTTCTCAGTTACAAGATTTACAAAGCCATTGAATAAAAAATTGGGGTTTAATGCAAAAGTTTTTGTTTACAAAAGTAATTTATGATTACAACTATTTGGACTTTGCTGTAATACACATAATATAGAAAGTGAAGTTCTGGGGTGCCTGGGTGGCTCAGTTAAGCGTCTGCCTTTGGCTCAGGTCATGATCCCAGCGTCCTGGGATCGAGTCCCACGTTGGGCTCCCTGCTCAGTGTTTCTCCTCCCTCTGCCCCTCCCACACTTGTGCACGCATGCTTTCACTCTAATAAATAAAGAAAACCTTTAAAAAAAAAATGAAATTTCCCAATATTTATCATACTATATACTGTTTTACAGCTTTTCTAAACTTAATGGTATTGTGCATCTTTCCACATCAATACAGATAGAGTCTACCTTACTCTCTCGAATAAGTGTACATTATTCCATTGTATGAAGTATTTATTTTGGCAAAGTTTAATCCTTGCTCTTCTTTGGAAAAATAATCAGAAGCAGAAGGCATTAGGAGAGTAATTGTTCAAGTACAATATATGATTTTTCCCTTCTTCCTAACAGCATTGAGGGAATCTGCTCTTACACGTGGTTGTATCAATATATGGGCCTGAGTATTTTTCCTTTTATTGAAATTTCAGAGATCTTCAAGTAGACAGAAGAATATAAGAACTCCTACATATCCGTCACCTAAATTCAAGTTTTCAGAACATATGTGCATCTTTTTTCTTTCTTTTCCCTCTTCCTCCTTTTGCCTCTGCATTAATTTAAAGCAAATATTGGCTGTCCTATATAATCGTAATGCCATTACCAGTCCTAACTATAATAAGAATTCCTTGGTATAGTCTAATAACTGGTCCGTAATCAAATGGCTCTAGAGCATCTTTTTGCATTTGTATTGTTTGAATCCGGATCTGAACAAGGTCCACATCTGACATTTGAGTTGTCTCCTGTCTCCTTGAATGTAGAGCTGACCTCCCTCTATCCTCTCCTTTCCTATTTATTTTTAGTTCTACTGACTTGCTGGAGAAGTTAGTTTATCTGATAGAATGCCCCCACATTTTGGAATTAGTGGAGTGTTTTCATGTGGTATCATTTACATTTTGTATTTTCTGCAAATATAAGTTAGCTCTGATTAGGTTCAAATGTGACATTTGGCAAGGACACTTCCGGAAGTTCTGGATATTTCCTACTGTATCACATCGGGAGGACGTGGTGTCTTGTTTCACCTTCAGTGATCAGTGGGTCCAGATGATGACACTGCAGTCCTTCCTTGTTAAAGTTTCCCACCTGCCTTTGTACCAGTGATTCTCAGCCAGGGGTGACATTTGCCTTCTAGGGGATCTTTGATAATGTCCTGGGGACATTTTTGGTTTTTGCTTTGGGAGGGAGATGGTGCTACTACCATCTAATAGACAGGCCTGGGGATGCAGTTCACCATCCTGCAGTGCATAGGACCTGTTCCCCTCGGCAAAGATTTATCTGACCCAGAGTGTCCATGGAGCCAAGCTTGAAAAACCCTATTTAAATTAATTGTTTCATCCATTGAGATTGTTACCGTAAACCTCTTGATTCAGTAGGGGATACAAAAATGATGATTTTAAAATTCCGTTAGCCTAAAGAAGAATTTTCTTATTATAACTAGGGCTATTTGTTTACCCTGAAATACAGTTTGTACAGAAGAGGCAGGATGAATGCTTCCTATTTTTTTAAGTACTAATTTTCAGAATGAGGAGCTGGTACCCAGTTACTTAAAATGGTTCAGTAAGGTCTTTTGTTGGTGAGGACAGGAACTCAGGAGGTTTTACATACTTAATGTGTTTCATTCATTTACTTTCATTATTGTTTACTGATGTTCAAAAGAAATTTTTTTTTTTAAACTAATGAGCACCCCTTCATGTACTCTGACAGATCTCCTTTAGACTTTGATAGTTTCCTAGATTTCTGGCACAAGATGTCGTAAGCTCGTCTTACATATTTTCTGCCCCAGACCTAGAACCAGCCATTTCTCCAAGGGGAATATTTAGGTTCTTAGTTCTAAATTTGAATAAAGAAACACATCAGCTTTTTGTTTGAAAAAAAAGGGGGGGGTGCTGGGTGGCTCAGTCAGTTTAGTGTCTGCCTTCGGCTGAGGTCATGATCCCAGGGTCCTGGGACGAGCCCCGCACCGGGCTCCCTGCTCAGCCGGGAGCCTGCTTCTCTCTCTGCCCCTTTCCCCTGCTTGTGCTCTCTCTCTCTCTTTCTCTGTCTAAAATGAATAAATAAATTCTTTAGGGAAAAAAAAAGAAAACCCTGTCAGCTCTGTTTATGATTATTAAGGAAATTGTGTAATCCTTTTTTAAAAAAGTATACTTCAGATATTTGAGATGTACCGTGAGGTTTTTAAAAAATTACGCAATTAAATGTATTTTGAAAATAAGAGCATTTAACCTAGGTATGGTTGGCTGTTTTATAGTTCAGCGTGCTTTGTTGTCACTGATCTGATTTTAATTGGCCATAGTAGTCCTCAGTTGAAGCTTGAATAGTGGGTGACACATTTGCTTTTATGGTTGTTATGATCTGTTAATCTTACTTGTCTTGTTTTTCTAGACCTTGAAGTTGTAACCGGCATCCCGGCTGAAGTTCCGCACATCAGGGAGACCGTGATGCGCGAGGGCCGCCACCTGTGTTTCCAGCTGGTGAGCCCGTCGGGCACCCCGGTGTCAGCCCTTCGCTACATCAGCAGGACGAACCAGCTTGCCGTGGGCTTCTCTGATGGCTACCTAGCTCTTTGGAATATGAAAAGCATGAAAAGAGAGTAAATATGACTTTCTTCTCTTGGTTATTGGTAGTTTCTTTCTAAATATAACTTGTACTTAATTATTACTATTTTAAAATTAGCATAAAGAGAAAAGGGTATGGTTAAAAATGACTTTTTTTTTTAAGTTTTATTTATTTAAGTAATCTCTGCACTGTATGTGAGGCTCGAACTCATGACTCCAAGAGCAAGAGTTGCATGCTCTTTTGACTGAGCCAGCCAGGTGCCCCTCTTTTTTTTCTCTTTTTTTAATAGAAAATCTTTTTTAAAAATTGCTGCAGAATTTACCCTTTATTGAGGGAAGTAGCCCTTAACGGAGGGAGGTAGCAGATCGGCATTAAGGACTTTTAATCTCTCTGAAGAGTTAAGTAGATGCCTGTTTTTCTCATAAGTTGTCAATTTAATATTTCTTCATTTTTTTTCAAGGCATATTGGATTTTTTTTTTTTTTTTTTTTAAACCACGTACCAGTGATGAAGCGGCAGTGCTATTGCCTAGTAGCTCCCTAGGGCAAGTCCACCTCAACTCTCTTTGCTTGAGAACCTTTTACCAGCTCTTACCTTGGAATTGCTGCTCAGGGAATGCCTGGAGAACCCGGCTTCCACAGTCTTTCCCCTGGCACTGTCCTCTCTTGGCCAACTGTGCTTTCTAAGTGGTTTGTGGGAACTCTTCAGATTCTCACTCACTGGGGTGTCGTGGTGAGGAAACTAAGCGCATGCAGCTGAGGTGGAGTGTTGTGTCTGTGTTCATCTTTCCTAGGGGGCCTCTCGCTGGGAGCAGCCCACAGTGGCACATCCTCACCTGACAGGAGGCACAAGTTCCCACCTGCACGTATGTGGGTGCATTAGTGGTTTTGGCCCTTCCCTCGGCCGTGCCTGTTGCCTCACTGTCCTGTACCCTGTGCATTAAGATCAGACGATCGTGTGAACAGTAGTTGCTCCAACCCAAATTTTCACATGAGACCCAGTATGAACTGTCCTACTTTTTGTGCCTCTTGTAGATACTACACACAGCTGGAGGGTGGAAGAGTTCCCGTGTATGCGGTCACTTTTCAAGAACCTGAGAACGATCCACGTAATTGCTGTTACTTGTGGGCTGTTCAGTCGACACAAGATAGGTAAGTGTGATGCATATGGTTTTTTAAAAACACTTGTCAAAGATGAGGCAGCAGTTCATTTCTTTTGGAAAGCCTTGTAGTATTTGTCTTTTTAGTGAAAACAGCATAATTCAGTGAATTATTTTGAAATAATTTTGAAAGTTCAATGATTGTTTCGACATGGTTGAGTAAATTCTGGGGTATCAGTAAGAAATGGTGCTTATTTGACTTGTTTGAATGCTATTTTTAAGAGTAAGCCAATACAGGTGAGTAGGCAGCCTCTTATTGCCTTAGACAATTTTTATGGCCTTCTGTGTTCTTACACTTTTATAATCTCATTTCTTCTCTTTGTTGTGTATGCCTCTCTCATTTTTATTTACCCTTACTCTGTTCCCTGGTCCTCCTGTTTGCCTTTTTCAGTATACTCTTAGCATAAACTTGGTTAATTTTTCTCTGTCATAAGGTCTAATTTTGTCCCAGTTACAGTTAGTGAGAAATCTTTCAACTGAATTCTAACCAGTTAAATTTGTTCAACTAGAATAGTGTAAGTATTGATTTTCTCTTATTTTCCTTTGGTGTTTTGTTCTTTCTCGGATGATCAGTGAAACAGTTGAGCTTGTGGTATAAATGCCATGATGGTGATGATGTGCGGTTCCCAGTACTTTTCTCTTCCCAAGTCCATCCTACCTTGGGCTCTAGGTAACCTGAATTGTGGTCACTTTGGGTTTTGTGTTCTTACGTCCCCACATGGTGGTTTGGTCTTGCCTTACTCTATAGTAAGTCAGGAAATGGAGAATTGATTTGCCACTTTGAAATTTGTCAATCCTGGAAAAATACTGAAATGAAAATACAGAGCCTGCTGTTGGGCTGCCCCGCCTTGAGTCAGACCCATATTTCCATTCATCTGAGTGTGGGGGGGGGGGCAGCAATTGGAGGGATGTGACCTGTGAGGGCTCTGGGTGGTGGGGAATGTGAGGGGACTTTCATCTAAACAGTTGTTGTATTCTGCTTATTTTTCCTCCTAGGACTGTCTCTTAGGATAAGTTCTATTAATTTTTTATTCTTTATTTGGGTTTTTGTATTTTACTTTTTCTGAATTTCACGCACTAAACTCTAGAGTGCTTTCCTCTTATTTTGGAACCTGGTGAATAAGTGTGACTTCTTTTTTACCATACCACTCCTGATTCTTTTGGTGTTATCTGTAAGTGATGCCCACTCTATTCTTATAATCATGAAGCTATTTGAATATTCTCTGTTCCTGATTTTCTTTTGTAAAATCCTTGTGAAATGTATGCACTTCCTTTCGTCCTTTTTTGAGGTAGTTTGCAGAGCTCTCTACAGCTGATTCTTGAACAAGGTGGGAGCTGGGGCTCTGACCCCTCTGTGCAGTCAGAAATCCATGAAAACTTTTGACACCCTCCCTCTCCCAAATTTAGCTACTAATAGCCTGCTTTGACCGGAAACCCTCCCGATAAACATCAATAATTAGCACATATTTTATGTGTTAAATATGTTACATACTGTATTCTTTAATGCCTTTTTGCTTAATTTTTTCAGTATATCTATGCTATGCGGTTCATCTGCAAGGTTTTCAAATTGTCACAAATCTCCAAAAAACTTCCCACTGTATTTATTGAAAAAATCTGCATACAAATGGACCACACAGTTGAAACTTGTGTTGTTCAAGGGTCACATGTATTTGCATTTGAAGCACAAATGAATTACAGTTTAAAATATGGGCAGAATATACTGTTTTTGGTTTCTCTTAACGGTGATGCCCTGTATTTACTTGTCTTTATTATTCACAACACACTGAGTAAGTAACCCATAGGAACAATTCTCTAACGACTTGTAAACCATTTTCTAGTACTATATATAATATTCTTTTAATAGGACAGGGTTAATTTAATTGGTAAGTTGGATTATTTATTCCCGCATGATTTACTTTGCATTTGTCACTATTGCTGATGTGAGATATTTTTGAGAGTGGTATTTTCGTGGACTTCTAGTCTTTGATTTGGGCCCTTAAATTAGTATGTCATGGGCCTCTTTGAGAATCTGATGAAGGCTGTGATATATATTGGTATGTGTATGTAATATGATTTAAAGCACAATTCCTGACCTGTGGTCTGTGTGTAGACATAGAGCAGTCTGTGAGCTCCCAGAAATTATATTCAAGATTATTTACATTTGTTTATATATGTCTATGAATAATACATAATAAAAATATATATGTGTACACATATACAAATAATATGTATATATGTGTATAAATAATACTTATACACGTATGGAAACAACACTTACATAAATAAGTGATACTTCTACACATATTGGTATATTTAAGTGGATGGATGGCATTGGTATTATAAGTAAATGAAAAGAATATAAACTTAGATTATAAGTCTAAATTAGAAAGACAGATGATGTGGTCCTTCCTTTTCCCCCATCAGAGTGATTATTTAAACAGAATAAAAAAGGAAAAAAAAAATCACCGTAGAGTGATTATATCACCACAGAATTACATGGGTATAGATCTTAAATTGTTGCCATAGTGCTCATCAATTATAATAAAAGCCACATTAAATTTTTAAAACTTATTTTTATTTAAATTCAATTAATTAACATATAATTATTGGTTTCAGAGGTAGAGGTCAGTGATTCCTCAATGAAGCCACATTAATTTTGTAATATGGAAAAGTGAATGAAAAAACCGACTGGTGTTCCCTTTAATGTTGGTTGTATGCAGTTTGTCTTGTTTAATATTTGGTCTTTTAGAGGTTATTTGTCTTTGTTCCATGTCCATGTGTTTATTCATTCCACAGAATCATTGAGTGTTTATCATGCTAGTGACTCTTGTCGAGACTGTAACAATGCATAGCACCAATAAACTTCTATTCTTCTAAATGTTCTATTTCTGCGAGTATATTCCATAAATATACTAGTGCATGTATTTCATATAATTTCAGTTAGTGATGTTAAATACAGAAAAATAAAGCTGGGAGAGGAGATATAGAATGTGTGGTATAGGGAACTGCTCTTTTAGATGGTGTAGTTGAGGAGATTTGAATGAAGTCAGTTGGGGTAGGTAGGTAGGAGAGCCATGGGGAGATCTGGGGGAAAGAATGCAAAGGCCTTAGAAAAATGTCTCAAGGAAAAGGAAGAAGAGCAGTAAAGGGTAGAATGCAGACTGGTCATAGATGAGGTCAGAAGAGTAGAACTAGTTTATACAGGACCATGGAGGCCAGGGTAAGGTAAGTATATGAATTTGGTCTGGTTAGACCAGACCAATTAAATTAGTTTCTGATAGGAGGGTCTGAGCATTAGTATTTTGTCAAAGCTCCTTTGATGATTCTAATAATAAGCAACCAAGATAGGGAACCACTAGCCCAGAGTGAGAACAGTAGAGAAGAGAGCTGGGAATCCTTCTGCACGTGGAGATAATTGATGGTGGAGAAGCAGAGGGTAGAACAGCCAGCAGAGGATTATGGATAATGTAGTGTGAAGAACAGGAAGATGGTGTGGTATCCTGGAAGCCAAGTAGAATATGTGTTCTAAGAAAGACCAGCCAGAAAGAATAAGAATTCACATTCAGACAGTATGGAAATCTGTGCTCTTAATACTTAACTGCACACTGTTCTTGAGCAGTGAGGAGTTGATTTGGGATCTTTGCTTTATATTCATACTGTGTAGCCTCATCCTGTGGTCCCAGGCAGCAAGATCTTCATCTTAGGTAGAAGCATAACAAGATTGCAGAAGGAGGAACAAAGGACATGCCGTCCCCTAAGGACAGTTTTCTGTAGTTGCCATGGGATAATTCTGTATACATCCTGTTGGCCAGAACGTGGGCCTCCTGCACCCAGCTCAGAACACACCTGCTAAAGATGGGGAGAAGCGGTGTTGCGTAAACCGCTGTAGTCTCTGCCATATAAGGGGTCACCTAAAGTGTCCAAACAACATCAGCTTAAGTTAATTAGAATCTGTTAAAAATAAAAATCAGTTATTATTTCAAAGGACTGCATTTTGTGAAAACTAAATCACAGTAAGTTCTTCATGTTGACCTTAGTTTTGTCCTGTGCACTCAGTATTGTATACAAGACAGAAAGAGCTGCTTGATATATTCGTAGGATCTTGAGTGTTTCTTCTCAGCTCGTTTCTGTTTCTTTCAGTGAAGGGGATGTTTTGAGTTTACATCTACTTCAGCTGGCCTTCGGTGATAGAAAGTGTTTGGCATCAGGACAAGTCTTGTATGAGGTAAATGGTACTGGGACTATGGGTTTATTATGACCATTTTATCATTGTTTTGCCTATTTTAGTCTTTAAGATATTAACATATTGAAAAGTTATTCTTCTCTTCAAGTTAATACTGTATTCACAATGTAATGAAAAAAGTGTTAGATTAGGGACCAGTAGACTAGCAGTTTTACCAACATAGCCCTCTTAACTTCCCCATGTATCATTTTCATCTAAAATGAGGGGATTGGACACGACTCATCTTGTGACCTAATTGGTACACAGGAAAAATTGCCCCACTTTGTTGCTCTAATATATCAAGCAGTAAGCCATGGGGTGACTTTATAAACAGTCTTGGGGCACCCGACTGGCTCAGTTGGTGGAGCATGCAACCCTTGATCTCGGGGTTGTGAGTTTGAGCCGCACGTTGGGTGTAGAGATTACTTAAAAATCTTTTTTTTTTTTTTTTAAAGAGAGCGCAAGTGGGGTGGGTGGCAGAGGGAGAGGGAGAGAGGCTCTTAAGCAGGCTCCACATTCAGCACAGAGCCTGATGTGGGGCTTTTGATCTCATGACCCTGAAATCATGACCTGAGCCAAAATCAAGAGTCAGATGCTCAACTGACTGAGCCAACCAGGTGCCCCACTTAAAAATAAAAATCTTAAGGGGCGCCTGGGGGGCTCAGTCGTTAAGCGTCTGCCTTCGGCTCAGGTCATGATCCCAGGGTCCTGGGATCGAACCCCGCATCAGGCTCCCTGCTCGGCGGGAAGCCTGCTTCTCCCTCTCCCACTCCCCCTGCTTGTGTTCCCTCTCTCGCTGTGTCTCTCTCTGTCAAATAAATAAATAAAATCTTAAAAAAAAAAATCTTAAATCCACCTTTAAAAAATAAAAAAAATAAAAAAATAAAAATCTTAAATTTTTTTAATTAAAAAAATGGTCTTGCCACTTACAAAAGAGGATAAATGCATTAGCCTTTCAGATGACTGTTTCTCCAGCTGAATTTGAAGAAAAGGTGGTGTGCTGCTAATAGCTATGTGGTCAGCCCCTACATTCCTTTCTGTAGGACAGTCTTTCTTAACCTAGTGTTTGAAGTTACATGGATGGGCTTTAAAGAATCCATGAAGTCTGTGAATTATGTGTGACATTTTTATGATTATGCATTTTTCTGGGGGAGTTTCATAGCTTTCTTAGATTCTTTTCTTTTCTTTCCCCCCTAAAGATTTATTTGAGAGAGAGAGAGAGCAGGCATGCACAAGTGGGAGGGGTAGGGAGAAGAAGAGAGGATCCCAAGCAGACTCTGCTGAGCATGGAGCCCAGTGTGGGGCTAAATCTTACCATGACCCCGAGACCACGACCTGAGCTGAAACCAAGAGTCAGACGCTCACCTGACTGCACCACCCAGGTGCCCCAGCTTCTGTTAGATTCTTAAAGAGATTGATGAACAAAAAAAAAAATGTATGGGCTGCTGTTCTAGAGCAAGAATTTCTCTGAGAACAGAGGAGCAGGTTTGCTGGCCTGGAGTATCTTTGTACAGAACAGTGATGGTTAGTCCAGTTCACACTCCAGCCGAAAGTGGCTTAAGGTTCCCGTGGTTGATAACTGCTTTAGAAGGTTTGTTGGTACTGTTTTCAAGAGACTAAGTTTAGCCTTTTATCTGTGTTTTATGCTATATAAAATTTCAGAGCCCTTTTCAGTGATTTTAACTTTTTTGTGTTTTCTTTGTATCCTGTAAAAACTCTTTAAATTCAGAGAACATTTAATTTTTGAATGATTTCTGGCTTAGAATTCCATTAAGATAGAGATTCTCTGTTTCAGGGGTTAGAGTACTGTGAAGAAAGATACACGCTGGACCTCACGGGCGGCATGTTTCCTTTGAGGGGACAGACTAGTAATACCAAACTGTTGGGATGCCAGAGTATAGAGAAATATCGGTATCATGGCGACAGAGAGGAAGGTATGAATGAAGGTTGGTTAAAAGCACTCTTATTATATGTCATGTGGAATGCTTGATTTTAATAGTTATCTTGATGTAAGATTTGACGGACTGCTTTTTAGAGTTCATACTCCTGGCAGTTAAAAAATTGGAATATTCTTTAGGTCTTTATCAGATTGGCAGTATTCTCACTGTCCAGTTTGCTATGTAGAACTCAAGAGTCCAATAGATTAAGGGATCCTTGTATTTTAATCCAGCTCTCTAAATAGACAAGAATGGTCTCTAGTTTTGACTAGTATGAATAGTTTATGAATAATGGTTCCTTCAGTGTATTTTTTGAGACCTATGGCAAACAGGCCTTGGTTGTCTTTAATTTTTCTCTTTCCTTTAGTATCATCCCTTCTGGCTGGTAAACAGCCCTTGCATAGGAAAAATGGTATTGATTTGGAATCCATCATGGCTTCAGATCTTAGCTCTGTCACTAGTTGTGACCTTTGACAAATTATTTCACATTTCTGAGCCTCCCTTTCCCCATCTGTGAATGGAATAATGCAGTTGTACCTTTTGCGAAGGGTGGCTGTGAGAAATAAATGTGATGCCTGCATAGGTTTGTTCAGCTCTGGACGTGCTCCCTAGGGCCCTGCTTGTGTGTGTTCTTACCGGGATTCATCTTCATGGTTCGCTCCTCCATCCTGGGCGTGTCCTCTCTGCTTGTTCGACATATGTATTTGTGGTCCAGTCTTCACATCCAACTAAACATGCCCCAAACACAACTCTTCAAACTCTATCTTTTCTCATTCCCTACTCCCCTCTTTTTTGTTTCCCATTGTTTACTTTTTTCTCTCATTGGTGCCTCTTACTTTGTTCCTATCTTTCCATTCCCCACAACCACCATCCAGGTCCTTGCCTTCTCCCCTTTTCCCATAAAGCTGGATCAGCCCTTCTCAACTAGAATTCCTCTAAAGAATTAAGTGCCTCAAAGCATCCGTTTTCGGTGTTGATAATTCTCTCATACTGGCTGTGTTCCCTTGTTGGGAGAATATGCATTCAAATAATTTTCTACTTTTACGTCCAACACCTCAAAGTTGCCGAAGTGTTAAGTGAAAACAAGCCAGGATATAACTTTTCTGATGAGTACTTTTTAATAAAATCTTCTTGAAATGGAGAAATAGTAAAGATATAAGTGAATGAAACCCTTCTTAGAGAATGAAACCCTTCTTATAGAATGAGCGATAGAAATGTGCTTTGACATATCAAATATGATTAAAACTTCTTAATTTATGACAAAATGTTGTTAAAATTTTATTTGGTCTAGTTTTACTTTGTGATTATTTATTCAATTTATAAAAATGATATTCTTTTCTTTTAGCTCTGTCTCCTGACACTAGTGTTTCAGTCTTTACCTGGCAGGTGAATATATATGGACAAGGAAAGCCTTCTATGTATTTGGGGCTTTTTGACATAAATCGTTGGTATCATGCACAGATGCCAGATTCGTTAAGGTATGATTTCACCCTCTCTTCTTTTTCGTGTTTGTATGTGTAGCAGCTCAGTCATTTAATGATTTTGTAACATTTTCTTTTAGATCAGGAGAATATCTGCATAATTGCTCTTATTTTGCATTGTGGTCACTGGATTCTGTTGTGAACAAGACTTATCCACGTTACATCTTGGATATACTAGTAAATGAGAGAAGCTTAAGTCGAGGAATTCCTCCTTCATATCCACCTCCTGAGCAGTTTTTTAATGCAAATATTTACAATTTTGGTATGTATTTCCTTAACATTACCTTTCGAGAAAAATAACATGCACGAGTATGTATGCATGTGTGTAATACGTATTTGGATAGCATGTGTATATATAGTTACCTGTTCATGTCTCGTTACTGTCAGTTAATATATGGGTAACTTAGGAAATTAATTTGATATGTACATGAGAAATTTAATACTTAGGGATTTTATAAAGAAATTATCACTATTATGAATTTGCTAGAAAAGGTAACTATTATTTATGTTGAAGTTTGGTATCTTGTCAGGATGGAAATACCTGGAAAAATTATTTTAAAATTTATTGTATGTAATAATTTTGATATCTTGCCTAGCAAATCTCTTGTTAGGATAAATTTTGGTGTATTAATGCCATCTACGATATAATATGTAAGCACATTTTTTTTTTTTTTACATCTTTTTTTTTTAGATGCCACTTGTTTGTTAAACTCAGGAATTGTTCATATAACTTGTAATGGCTTTCAAAAGGAGGTAGGTAACAACTAACAATGTGGACAGAGTGTGCCTTACTGAACTGAAGTCAGATCATGGATTTAAACTTTATTTAGTGTTAATTATATAAACTATTGTTTCAGCTTAAAAGGTAGCTTCTGCTAGGTTTGTGCTATGAGCAGCTAGTAGCATCAGTTACTGATGGCAGCCTGCCAGAAGAAGTATTGGGGTTGTGTGGATGTTAGGTACTTGAACCTTAAGGAAAAGAGCGGAAGTAGGTCAGTGCCTTCACCATAACCCTTTGTATCCGTATTCTTAATTCTGCTTGTTCTCAGGAAGCTTATGGATAAGTGAAGTAACGCAAAGAACGTGCCTAGCACAGTGCCTAGCACAAGCGGGCAATGATTATGTGTTGAAAAAGACTTTCCCAGGAAAACACAAAATGGCAGATTTCAAAATTGATAATCGGCTAGATGTGCCTGAATGCCATATTTATATTCATATTAGATCTCTCTTACATTAGATCAGAAAGAATAAACTGCAGGTGTGTGTGTGTGTGTGTTCATTAAGATCTGTCCCCAGGTCTGTCAGCTTTGGAGAAGGTAACAGGCTTACCCGTCATAAAAACAAAAAGCCACCCAAAGTACCCTTATCATTAATATTATTTATAACTAGCAAGCATTGGTTTAGCTCAAGAACCTATAAACCCTTTGCCTTGCAAGAAGTGTAAAAATGGAGTCTTACAATTTCTATTCCCTGTCTTTTAGCTTTACTCTCAAAACATTAAGTATAAGTATATTCTTGGGGATAGTAGGGTGATAAGTTTATTATTCTTAAATTTGATTATTTGAAATTGTGTATTGATATTTATTCATCGATCTTTACAGACTTTGAGATTTTTAAAGAAATCAGGAGCATCTCTCAGTGAATTCATACCTGATGGCTATAATAGATGTCTTATGGCTGGCCTTCTGTCACCGAGACTTACTGATACTCACCCTTCCAGTTTAAGTCAGGTGAGATGATTTCTAACGCTGTTGTTTCTTTTGAACTATTTTATTAGCTTTCTATTATAATAAAAGTCTACTAGATAATTTCTGCAAAAGTAGACTCAGTAGATGCACTCTGCATGAGCACTAGCTATGGTCCTGGGTTTGGCTTAAAATATATACTCCCAGGACTTAGTAGGCCATAACTTGGCACCAGGTTCACTTAGCTGTATAGAAGGATATAGGACAGGAGGCCCATCATGGCATGTCATGAGTAGAAGCTATTATAACAGGCCTGGGGCCATTTTCCAGCCCCTGTGGGAACTGCATGGGTGCAAGAAAATGAGACCTGAGTGGAAATCATCTTGACTTAGGTAGATCTCATGGTCTAGAACAAAAACATGTGATCACTGGCATGAGCGTCACTGGGAACTTGTTCATGGTTTCTATCATAGCGCTGTTTAATCAGAAATTCTAGGAGTGGAGCCCAGCACTCAGTGTTTTAATAAGCCCTTGATGTAGGGGGTGCCTGGGTGGCACAGTCGGTTAAGTATCTGACTCTTCATTTCAGCTCAGGTCATGATCCCGGGGTCCTGGGATCGAGCCCTGCATGGGGCTCCCTGCTCAGCGGGGACTCTGCTTCTCCCTTTCCCTCAGCCCCTCTGCCTGCTTGTGCTCACACTCACTCTCTCTCAATAAATCTTTAAAAAAAGCCCTTGCTGTGATTCTGATGCAGTGTTTTATAGAAACCAGTATCTTCTGAGAGCGTGTGAGAAGATTCGAGGTTCCTGCAAAACGGGGCCGTTGGTTCTCAAAGTCAGACTCAACTCATGGAAACCAGAACCTTAACTTCCAAGTGGAGGTTTATAATCCATTCACAGTTTTCCTGGTCCCAGTACAGTTTACCTGCCAGGAGACATTCTAGCAGTAAACAGTGTTGCCTGGGGACAGCTCATAATTCACCTTTATTTTAACTCATTATTTGTTAGTAAAATATGCTAGAATGAAGTAAGCTCCATCTTCCCATGGAGAAAGAAAATGTTAACTCTCCCCAGGTAGTGTTTGGATAAAGTTATTTAAAAATTACAGTTGTGAAACATAATGAATTGCTGGAAAAAGAGCCTTTTAAACATCCGAAGGAATATAAATATTGCCACTGGTGGTTTAACACTTATGGTTGGATTTTAATACTTAATTTCATGGAGTGAAGAGAAATACTCAATTCTATTATCATTGGGAGATTTCCTCTCCTCGTTTCCCCTCCTTTTATATTTTTGTATCTGTGTTTACCACATGGTCATGTCGTGATCAGTGTTAATGTTCTTGTTATGTAGCTTGTTTTTTCCTGGAGTTTCCAAGTGGCCTTTAAAAAACAAAACCAAACCTTGCCTAGTCTCACACAAGCTTAATTTTTTCTTCTCAGTTTGTTTTTGCTCTTTGTGGAGCCTCTTTAGACGAAGGGTGTGACCTTCTGTTAGATTACCTTTGTTGCCCAGCGTTTCGTCGCCTTTGCCTCTGGTTCTATTTTTGAGGAGATTTCTTCATCATCTCCCTGTCTTCCTATTAGCTTTTTAAAGATTTGACCCTCATTTAAAATTTTTGGAGTACTTTTTCTTTGATCAGTCTTTTGTTCATAGTATTCTGTTTTATGGATGAACCAGCTCCTGTCCGTGTGTGTTTAGTCTTACTTGGTTCTCTGCATTAGCTCTGTTTCCTCTGCAGTTGGTTTTCTTCCTTTAGTCTCTTTGATGCCAGTGGCTCTCTTTACGTATTTGGTGGCCCTTGGTCATCTGTTAGTATGTAAAGTGGGTCAGTAACAGATGATACGCTCTCTTTTGCGTGGGTATAGTTCATGTAGAGGCATCCTTTTCTTGGGGATAGTAGATGGGACCTGCACCATTACAGTGGAGAAAGCCCACACTTTGTTTGGGGCCATCCCATTTTTCCAAAGATCTGTGAGGCAGGCATCCGTGGTTCTTTGCTGTGGGATCAGTGACTGGCTGTTCCATAGACTAAGTGTCCACCAGTTGCCTGTTTTCAGCCCCGGGTCTGACCACTCTTGTCCCCCACTTTCCTCTGTATCTGGTTTCTCCAGGGACTTAGTCTGAGGGCTCAGAGAGCTAACCCAATTCCATTCTCATCTGTAGCTCCCCTCTGTGAGGACCTAAGGACGTGGTTTCCCTCACACTGCTGAGTCTGTCACCTTTCCTCATGACTGCTGTTCACGGATTTTGTTGAGCTGTCTTACCCCTTGATGCCTTCTCTTTTCTTTGCCCTCGCTGATTGATACCTATCTCTGCTCTTTACGATTATTCGCTGGGGTCTGATGATGATCCGGAGGCAGGAAGTAAATGGCTGTGCGTGATGTTCCATCTTTATCCACAGGTAACAATTTTCTTTTGTTCAGAAAAGGCTAAAAGCAGTTACTGAGGTTTCTTTTGTTCATTGTGAGTAATATGGTCTTTTTAACCCATCTACCTTGTGAGAGTTCTGGAAGAATTGCTAATAGGTTGTACAGAAGAGATCTATTCTTTCTGTCTAATGGCCCAAGAATACTGTTGAGGGTTTGGTGAAACAGCATCATCTAACTATGGGCTGTTGATTTCCAACCATATACATTCAGAGGACACCTCTGATCAGTCTTTTGTCTGTTTTGTGGTGTCCTTTCCCCTGCCCTCAAGAAGACAAGGAGAAAAAGAACCAAGCACCAAATTCAAGATGGCTTTCTGCAGCTCTTGATTGGGTTCATTGAAAGACCTTAGGAAACTTTGGCCCCAGTGGCCCTGCCCATCCTCCCGTCAGGGACTGGAACTGCCTTTCCCGCCTGGTGCTTCAGCTTACGACAGAGAACTCACTGCTCATCCTTGTCCTCAGGGCCTTGGGTGCTCCAAGTGCTCCATTTAACTTTCTCACTTTTAAGGAATTTAGTACAAATTATTTTTTTCTGATTACATACTGTCAAATTTATTTAAAGCGATAATATCTTAAAAATGTGAAACAAGAAAAAATTACCTGTAATTCAGCCACGTGAATAAAACAGCATTTAGTGTTTTCTGTGATTAAACCTGGTAATTCAACCTGTTTAGGTTTTTTTCCAATTACATCAATAATACATGAATAATTTGGATTTAGAAAATTGGCTAAAGTGTATGGAGGCATATAAGTATTGGCATTTTGTTAACCATTCTTCGTGTACCTTTCTCTTTATTTTTTAAACTCCATTCCTAGAACAGGCCAAGTTAAACTATTCTTTAGTGATGCACATGTAGAGTTAAAGCAAAAAGAAAGCAAGAAAGTGATGACTTCAGAAGGCAGGAAAGGGGTCGTTGTTGCCATGGGAGATGGGAGGGTGGGATTTGCTTTTGGTCAGGTCAGAGCAGACACAGCTTCCAGGTTACTGCCAAAATATTCTCAATCTAAACCTGGGTGGGGTCTTATCAGTGTCCACTTTGTAATCATTTGTTTGTATACATGGTGCATGGACTTTATACTTTTCTTTCATGCGTTTCTTTATATATTCCTTCTTCATATACATGAAAAGGATAATACAGATGCAATTTCATATTTTTATTGACTGGTCAGTATTCTGTTAATTACATATTTATAGGGCTTACCCTTTTTTTACTGGGTTATCTATGGAAATTCTTTATCATACATATTTACCCTTTTTGTCGTAAATCTTCTAGATCCTCCCCCTACTGTTTTCCTCTTGATTTGTTTTATGGTATCTTTTGCTACATACAAATTAGTATTTTTGTAGTCAAATGTATTTCATAGCTCTAGCTAAAAAGTCTAACACTTAAATGTTTCTTTAGCATTTAAGGGTTCAGTTCATCTTTGTGTATCACATCAGGTAAAGGTTGATTTTCTTTCTCCCGGATGATGATGAGTCCAGCTGTGCTACACCACTTATAAAATAGAACGCAGAATATCCTTTGCTCATGTTACTGAGATACCACATTTATTTGATTTCCTTTGTGTGTACTGGGTTCTGTTTCTGGATTTTTATTTCTTCCCATTAATCTGATCTATTTCTATGCCATTCATAGATTTCTTTGATATTCATAGTGATTTATAATGGTTTTAAGTAACAGACTTAACTAAGACATGGCTATATCTTACAGTCACCTGCTTACAGTGTCTAATTCAGTGGTTTTTAATAAATCCATGGAATTGTGCACCTATCCCCACATTCAGTTTGAGAACATTTTTATCACCCCCACAAAACCCCCATATTCTCCCCCCCACGCCCTGGCTTTTGATAACCATTCCTCTGCTGTCTTCATAGACTTCCTTGTTCCTTATATGAATCCACAGTTTATTTGTGTGGTAGCACACATCAGTCCCTCATCCCGTTTAATGTCTGTGTCACATAACGTCTGTATAAGGAGCATACCACAGTTCATTTAGCCATTCTTTCGTTAATGGGCATTTGGCTTGTTTCCAGTTTGGGGCTATTATGAATAATGTTGTTCCATGTAGAGTTTTGGTGTGGGCATGTGTTTTCATTTCTTTTGGGTGTGGAGTTGGCTGGGTCATGAGGTAACTCAGTATTTTGTTTCCCAAAGTGGCTTTACCATTTTACATTCCCACCATCAGTGTATGAGGATTCGTTACTCCATGTCACCACCAATGCTTGTTACTGTCTGTGTTTGTGTTTATAGCCACCTAGTGAGTCATGAAATGTTTTTTTTTTTTTTAAGATTTTTTATTTATTTATTTGACAGAGAGCAAGAGAGGGAACACAAGCAGGGGTAGTGGGAGAGGGAGAAGCAGGCTTCCCGCTGAGCAGGGAACCCGATGGGCACGATCCAGGACTCTGGGACCATGGCCTGAACTGAAGGCAGACGCCCAACGACTAAGCCACCCAGGCGCCCCTGAAATGTTTTATTTTTAACCCTTGAAATATTTGTATTCTTTTTTTTAAGATTTGTTAATTTTAGAGAGAGTGCATTTGGGGGAGGGGCATAGGGAGAGAGAATCCTCAAGCAGACTCCCTGCTGAGCACAGAGCCCCTTGTGGGGCTCGATTCCAGGACCCTGAGATCATGACCTGAGCCAGAATCAACAGTTGGATGCTTAACCAAATGAACCATCCAGGTGCCCCTAAATGTTTGTATTCTTATAGAACTTGCTGTCTCTGAGTCTGTGATCAGATCTCCTTTATCTTCATTTCTTACTCTTTTTCCTTCTTTTTTTAATGCACGGTTCAGGAAGAACAGTTAGAAGCTATATTGTCAGCAGCGATCCACACAAGTTGCCTGGGCCTTTTGACTGGATGTATCAAAAAGTGGACAAAAGAAGGTAAGATTATTGTTTTTAACGAATAAAAAATTACTTTTGTATTTTAAATTGTTTAAATGATTAATTCGTTGGGGGGTTTAGTTAAACTTTATTTTGAGATAATTATAGGTTCACATTGCTATTTTAAGACATTACGTAGAGAGATCCTGTGTTGTACCCTTTTATCACCGCCTTTCCCCCGCAAAACAATATCTCAGTCAGGATCCCTGTGTTGTCCTTTTTATAGCCACACCTGCCTCCTCCCACCTCTAACCCCCGGGAGCCACCAGTTTATTCTCTACTTATGTAATTTTGTTATTGCAAAAATGTTCCAAAATGAAATGATATAGTATGTAACCTTAGGGATCAACTCTTCGGCAAAATTCTCTGGGATTCATCCCACCTGTTGTGTATCCCCCTCTTTAAAAACACACACTCACACCCACATTATTTTTGTTGAGTCATTTGAGAATAAGTTGAGGACATCAACGTTTCTCTACTTGTATTATCAGTATTCTTTCCAAGAACAAGAACAGTCATTACAAAACCACTGTGTACTTAGAAAAATCAGGAAAAGCATTGAATATGCTATTATCTGATCTCAGACCTTACTGGAATCTTACTAATCATGCCAGTAATGTCCTCGGTAGCATTTATAGGAATAGGGAATCCAGAATGCAATCCAGAATATACTTTGTGTTTAGTTTTTATGTCCCTTTAATCTCTTAATCTCATGTAATTCCTAGGCTTTTATCTTTCAAGAAATTGGTGTTTTTAAAGAAGATTTAAGCCTATCATTTTGCAGACAGTTTTTCAATGTGTGTGTGTGTTAACGTTTCCTCATGATTAGATTCAGATTTTACATTTTTCACAGAAGCGCTGCATAAAATGATGTGCTCCTTGCTGTGTTTTCGTACCAGTTTGTTTCTGTTAGTGTTGATGTTCACATTGCTCACTTGATCAGCGTGGTCTCTGTCAGGGTTCCCCACTGAAGTTACTAATTTTTTGTTTGTAATTGAGAATTCTTTTTTTTTTTTTCATTGATATTTACAAATAAGAACAACCAAATTCTGCAGCTAATCTGCGCTTTGTTCTTGAATGGACATGGAATAAAGTGGTTTTTACAAAAGAGGAATTTGACAGACTGTGTAAGTATTGTATTAAAAAATTAACCTTGGTCTATGTTTTAAGTACATGACAATTTTAATCGTTTTGAAGTTGTAAACTTTTTTAAGATTTTATTTTATTTGAGAGAGTGAGAGAGCATGAGCCTTAGGGCGGAGCAGCAGAGGCAGAGGGAGAAGCGGGCTCCCTGCGATGTGGGGCTCGATCATGACCTGAGCCAAAGGCAGGTGCTTAACCGACTGAGCCACCCAGGTGCCCCTGAAGTTGTAAACTCTTTAAAGAAAGAGAGAGAGAGAGAGAAAAAGAAGAAAGAAAGAAAAGAAAGAAAGAAAGAAGTCTCAGAAGAAAACCATTTCTTTTAATATTGGGGTGGCAAAATTGTGTTATTTTTGTTTGTTTTTTAAAGATTTTATTTAAGTGATTGCTACACCCGGCATGGGGCTCGAACTTACACCCTCAAGATTAGGAGTCACCTGCTCCACCACTGAGCCAGTCAGGCGCCCTGACAGAATTATTTTTTGAGCGAGATTTTGCAATAGATTGTTAAACGGGCAACATGTTAATACGTCTACAGTACAGAGTTTCAGAACTATACCTTATCTTTGAACTTAAGAGATTAATTTATGAAGTTTGCTGATGATGGAGTCAGGAGAGTATGGCAGTTGACCTCAGAAGCTCCCCTACTTACTCATTTTCTATTTAAAATTAATTTATGACTATAAAAAAGCTGAAGAGGAGGGCAAAAATTCATCACCTCTGTCTTCTACTTAGCAGATGTCATTATCAGTCATTCAAAGTCATTTTTCTTCTTGACAGTCTTACTTATTCATCTGTCGGGTCCACTTTGAGTCTTGAGGTGTCTATAAATATCAAAACCCATTATGTGCAGAAATAATCAGGGTATAATATGTGATTGCCCTGCACATGAAAGTGTAATTTAAGTTTATTTAGAAGTATATGTTTTTGTTATTTCTATCATTGTGTCAATGATGGATGAATAAATGGACTTTTTAAATAAGTTATTCTTAGCACAGAATCTACTACTATAGACATGGGGTTCTATGGTATTTTTAGGCCATACTTATGAAACTTATAAAAATGAAATAATTTTAAATATTTAATCACTTAATACAGTTGAAGTCAGAAACAAACACCTGGTAATTCAGGGTCAGGGCAAAAAAAAATGTATTTTTTTGAGTGGAAAATATTTTTAGGACTGGTAATGTAATTCATGTAAGTAAAGAAAAAATCAGATCAGTTCATAAATTGTATGCCTTTGTTATACTTTGAGCATAATGTGGTACTTCAGGTTTGAACCTGGAAACTCAGCCACTCTTGCTGCCTTGAGCTTCGTTACTGGTTAATGGAGTTTTTTTTAAAAACCTAAATGTAATTAAAATTCAAAGCACAGTATTTTAAGTGTATTGGAAGTAAAACAAATCCATTTGATTGAGGAAGGATTTCTGATTATGTTTTCTGGTTTCTAATTACCCATTAAATATTAATGTGATTAAATCTTATCTAAAAGACGTAACCAGTAGCAACTAAAATACCCATTTTTTCCTGAAAAATGAATTTGTAAACTCATTGTTGAGTTTAAATGAAAAGACAGCCAAGTCTAAAATGAATTGTAATAAGCATGCAATTTTATTATAATAAGTCTTTATCTGGATCTTAATTTTTAATGTCTCACTTTTGAAGGCTGGGGGTGGAAAAAGTGCTCTTATAAAATCATCACAAGACAACGTAGCACATAAAAGATCTGGTATGAAAGATTTTTGTTTGAGGGAGAAGCATTTAATGAATAGACCTCATTTCTAGTCAGCCTGAAGTGGACTCCATAGCCCCTTTCTCTGCTCACATTGTTTACCTCGTTCTGCATCTTAAAAAACTAGGATAGGGATTTGTATTTGTCCCTTCTTGGTTTCTTGAGGTTATTTGCCATTTCCACCATTATTTTGTAAATCTCATAACGTATAGTCTAATTCTGTAGTTAATAGGAGTTTGAGAAATTTTGCATTTATGACTGTAACCAATTCAGATTTATCGTGTCAGGACTAACCTAGTATTTCGTCCCGGAAGGTACGCCATTATTTGATGGCTCGTGTCGTTTCACCGACCCGCAGACCATGCAGGCGCTCCAGCAGTGCTACTTGCTCCTCAGCAACCTTAATTCCGTCTTAAACTGCTTTACCACAGAGGCCCAAGAGATCACGGAGAGAGGTGTGCTCTTTATGTGATATGAATGAGTTTTTATTTAAATTTTACTTCTGGAAACAGTAAACTTCCATGTCTTAGATGCATTACTGTGCAAAGTGCAAAGAGGCCGTTTTAATTTTAATTTTTTAAATGGAAACTAGAGAATGTTACTAGATACGCCGTGAGCCCATGCTGAAGCAAGCTGGGGAAATTTGCGGGTTAAACTGCCTGTGAAGGTAGCACACGTACTTCCAGTAGGGTTTCACATTCTGAAAGTATACATAAGTTTTTATTCACAGAAGTCATTGTAAGTGTTTGTCTCTGTTTTGCCATTTAAACAAAATAGGCAGTTTCACTTAAAGGCCCGGTTTGAACAACTTATATTAATATATTACTGTGCTAGTTTGTGTTAATGTCTACATTTGACTTCTGAAACTAGCTAAATGGAAATGTAGCTTAGGCAGAAGCATATTTACCTAAAATACCTACTTAGTAAGTTACTTCAGCATTTTGGAGGTTATTTGTTCAGGCTAAGTGTGTTTAAAAATACACACAGTGCTGTTAAAAGTCACCAAATAATTCGATTTTGGGAACTGTCCAGGGTCTTGATTTTTCATTTGTGGTTGATAAATTGAATGTTACACAACTGGTGTTTCATCCTCACAGGCCTCATGGACTTGCACAAAAAGTGCCTGGTTACCCGGCTCATCTGCCAGTACACACAAGTGGTGCTTTGGTTCTGTCATTCTGGGCTCTTACCGGAGGGCCTAGGTAAAACATTTACTTAATCTGTAGATATTAATGGAAACATTCTCAAATCTGTGTCATTGGGGGTTTCTCATTTTCAGATTTCCTTTCTTCCCCCATCCCTCTTAGGTTTTCTTCTAGTCTTATATTCTTTCTCACTTTGTATCTCTAGTTTCCTGCCCCACACCCGATGTACGTGCATCCGTTCCATACATGCATATTGGGCTGAATGACAGGAAAGAATATTTAACAAAACATTGTTCTGAAAAAGGGTTCAATGATACCATCAGCTATAAATCAGACCCATTCAACTGTGGGTTTTATAATCTAGTTTGCCGATCTTTTTCTCCTTAAGAGTTCTTTTAATATGTTTATTAACCAAGATTATTTGCCATCAGTTGAATACCTCTTTTCATCTAATAATTTGTGCCAATACCAAGAATTAGGGAATTTGACTTTTGCTCTGCTTATGTAGAACACTTCTAAGCCCTTAACTTCTTGCATTTCCAGGGCACACATTACATTCTATTGAGAAGCACTTCTGTCCCTTTGCTAATTGCCGTTAACCTTACTTTTTCATTATTCTCTTTGATTTTTACTTAAATAGTGAATACTTGCTTTCTAATTATCATTTGAAATTAAGGAAGTGATTAAGGATTAAGGGGGTAGAATCATTTCTGGAATAGCTTTTCCAGAGTTTTAAGCCAGCATCCTTGTTTTTACCGACTGTTGTGAGAGACTCTGTTTTCTCGTTTGTGTATCTATTAATAAAGGGGTGTGTATTTATTAAATTTAGGAAGCCTGCAGACCAAACAACATCTTGCAATTATAGTAAAATATTAATGTGGGTGACCTTAGGTATTGTTGAGATATTTCAGAAGTATTACTGACTTTTTTCCCGACTCTTAAAAAATTCTAGATGATGCTGTGCAGTTGTCCAGGTTGTACTACAACTACCCTGTAATTCAGAACTACTATACCAGTCGTCGACAGAAGTGTGAGCGTCTGGCAAGGTACCTTACAGAACCTTCCAAAACCTCTTCGAAGTTACTTTTTAAAGAAATCCTCACTTTCTCAGAACAGAATTCATCATGCTGCAGAAAGATGAAATGCGTGGAATTCTTAAGTAAAGTGACAGAATTTGTTACCAGCATTATTATTTTAGTTGTAACGTTTGCCTGTTTGCCTTGACCTAACGGTTACACTAAGTTGAGTGTGGCTACTCAGTATTTCCTAATTAAGAGTAGTTACCACAGTTGATTTATTAGAGGAGATTCTATCACTTAAGCATGTATTTTTCCTGAGGATTCTTACTCAGTAAAGGACTAAGAGCTCCAATTCATCAGAAAACCATGAGGCATACCACCAGTTAGGCTTTTTACGTTCTTTCCGTTAACAGTTGCATTTCAGGCCCTTCAACCACTGTTTTCTTGTTTTCTTTGTTTTAATTCCTCTATTTCTCCTTTTTAAAATAAAAATAAATAAAATACATCTTAACCTCATTGGTTCCTTTGAAATACAGAAGCAGAGATAATAGAAGAAAGAGCAGGGATTAGTCGGTTTCCTCAGGTGGGAATTGATGCTTGTAGAACAGCATGCAGCATTGACAGCAGTGGTTCACAAACGTGGACGTCAGGCATGTTGTCAGAATCCCCCAGAAATCAGTACTTAAAAGGCCGTGCTGGCTCTAGTTTGGTGTGTGGCAAGTTTGGGGTCCGGTGGTTTAGAAGAAATAATCTCGGAGACTGAGCACAGACTTGGGAGATTTATTAGGCATTATTTATTTTTTAAAGATTTTGTTTATTTGAGAGAGAGAGAGAGTGTGCGCGTGAGCAGAGGGAGGAGGAGAGAGAGACTCTGAAGCAGACTCCCTGCTGAGTGCGGAGCCCGACGCAGGGCTCCATCTCACGACCCTCAGATCATGACCCTAGCCAAAATCAAGAGTTGGATGCTTACTCGGCAGAGCCACCAGGCGCCCTATCAGGCATATTTTAAAATTATAGATGTGTTATTTCCTAAGTGTGTGTCCCTGAACGGGTTTGCTAAGCTTTCTAGTCCTGCTTGGGTCACATAAGTTACGCAGTCCATAGAAATAAAGACGGAGCGGTGGGTGCGGTGCCTGACTCGGAAAGTAGGAACTGCTGCCGCCCTGGTGGTTAGTAGATGAGGAGGCAGGAACAGTATCTGCTGTGTAGGTGCTCAGTGATACGTTTTTGAAGGAATCACTGGGTCAGAAGACTTAGGTGGTGAAAGGGAAATCATAGCTCTTTGACTTTGAACTGTAGCGTATTTATACCCGACTGGCTGCCATGCTCTTGGGCAAATGCCCAAGAAGGTCCAGAAGGTGAAACCGAGTGTCGCCTCAGGAATCTGGCGGCTGGACTGTGCTCTCCCCGGGGACCTGATCTGTGCGCATGGGGTTGCTAATGACCAAGCCTGAGGCCTCTGCAGGGCTCATCTAATTCTTATTGGTGACTGGACTTCACGTGATGCTAACTGGGGTCCTGTTCTCAACTCTCTTCTTCTTTTGATTGTGGAGATCAGTAAGAGTTTGGAATTAACACAAATAACGAATAATCCCAAATGTCACCCTTTCTGCAGAGGGAAGTGGAGCCCTGATTGCTTGATGATTGACGAAATGGTGTCTCAGTTAGGAGACGGCATTGAGAGGTTGTGGAAGCGCGATGAAGGAGGCACGGGAAAATACCCTCCGTCTAGTCTGCACGTATGTTCATGACCACACGCTCCCCCATGAAGACCCTGCAGTGTTGCCAGGGGTGGGGGGGACATGATTAGCGGTATTGTTCCCACCCAGCACAGGCTTGGGGAAAATGGGGAGCGTGAATGAACAAACATATAAAACACACTGAATTTTTTATCCCTTTTACAGGCACTGCTTGACATATACCTACTGGACGACGTCACTGAAACAAGCAAACATGCTGTTGTATCCTTTGAAACACTCTCAAATAATTCATCTATTACCAACATCATAAAATTTGAGAGTAGTAGGAACCTCGCACTAATTTAATCTAATCTCGGTTGCACATTTGCAGTTTTTTTAAAGGAAGGTTAACCTAGGGTCTGTTGGTTGGGTTCAGATGGTCTATGGCAAACCTGAAACTATGCAGAATTTAGTTTTAGGTTTAATTTTCTAGGGATAGGATCCACAGCTCTCCTCAGATAGGACATCATCAGAGTTACCAACAGCAGTTCTGAAACATTGCTGGCCAAATGGTCTTTCTTTTCTTTTCTTTTCTCTTTTTTTTTTTTTTAAGATTTTATTTATTTATTTGTCAGAGCGAGCACAAGCAGGGAGAGCAGCAGGCAGGGGGAGAACCAGGCTCCCCACTGAGCAGGGAGCCCGACATGGGACTCGATCCCAGGACCCTGAAATCATGACCTGAGCTAAAGGCAGATGTTTAACCCATGGAGACACCCAAGCATCAAATGGTCTTTCCTAATGAGGTTAAGTTATGTGTTCAATACGAATACATGATAAGTTAGTTTAGTATTACCTTAGGCATCGGGTCTGAACCCAGTGGTATTTGCAATGATATTTTTGTACTGATGGTCAGTTTCTCAACTTAAAAACGTAGTTCCAGGGAGCTGGGTGGCTTAGTCGATTAAGCGTCTGCCTTTGGCTCAGGTCATGATCCCGGGGTCCTAGGATCGAGTCCTGCATCAGGCTCCCTGCTCAGCGGGAGTCTGTTTCTCCTCTCTCTCTGTGTCAAATAAGTAAAATCTTTTTTAAAAATATGTAGTTCCATTCATAATTTATAAGATACGTGATGTGTTTGCTTAAGCTGTTAGGTTTTGCTGATAACTGGAATTTTGTCTGTAGATCTGTCTCTTCAGTTTGCTAATAAGCTACTGACTTCATGAAGAAAGTAGACTTTTTGTTCATCTCTTTTGTGGTGGTACTTACTGTTGAGAGTGAATGAAGTTGCTTGTAGGACTGGCTGGACCTGCATTTAATAAAATTACCACACTTGGATATCCATTCTGTCTTACAGAATCCTAAAAGCAGTCTCTTCAAGCCTCTTTGCTGCTCTAGTCTGTTGCTACTTAATATAAGTAGATATATGTAGGAGATTTTCTTGTTGTTGTCCTTAATCCTCTTTTTTAAAGACCATTTATTTGTTGCTTGATATTATGTATTCCTTCCCAAACAAAACAGATACTTGCATTGAATCATTTCCCACTGCCTTTGCCATTCCTTGGGGCCAGGTGAAACTTATTCAAGGGTTTTGGCTGATAGATCATAATGACTATGGGGTAAGTCTGTTCACTTAGAATGTAAACTTTCATAAACTTAGAATTTCAGAAAGAAGTACATAGCTGGATTAAATGGGATATTAAAGATAACGATAGTCTACTTCTGGAGTAATTTACGGACTCAGTTCACTCATGACCTTTACCAAGCTCTATCATAGGCAGCATGAATACGAAGATGAAACAGTTTCAGGACCCCAGGTCCTGCCTAAAGAAGGAAATAAATAATAAATAATTACTAATAGTGCAAATACAGCGATTGTTCTGTTAGAGACACATTTGGTGTATTGCTGTTAGAAGGCAGGGCTTGGCATTGACGTATGATGGTGGTGGCGGAAAGATTTTACATAGCCCAACGAGGCCTCAGAAGAATGGGGCTTTTGATAAGGCTTTTATTTAAAATCAAACATACCATGGATTAAAGTAGATCTTTACAGGTTATGTTTAAACTGTTGTTTGTGGCTTTAGTGTTGCCTGTCTTTAAAGGCTGGTTACTTTGTCCAAGTGCAGGAAATTTATATTTGCATTTAGCACTTTTCGTGTCCTTCTGCAGAGTGGCTTGGATCTCCTGTTTCACCCAGCTACTGTGAAACCTGTGTCGTGGCAACATTCAAAGATTATTCAGGCCTTTATGAGTCAGGGGGAGCACAGACAAGCCCTCAGATACATTCAGACGATGAAGCCAACGGTGTCCAGCGGTGATGATGTTACCCTTCACCTCACCGTTTTGCTTTGTAATAAGTAAGTCCCTGTTTTGAAAATATGATCAAACTCTTGATTGTATATGTTCAATAAAGTGGAATTGATGAAACAGCAATATATAATATTTTGCTTTGGTTGCATTACATAACATTCTTAGGATTCTTCATCTGTCAGTGTGAGGAAAAACATAAAAAACCTTTTATCCTGGAATAGGATGAAGAAGGAGTACCCTTGAGTAAAAGGGGAAAGCAAACTGAGCCTCGAAAATTATATCTGTTGCTAATTGGCAATGTGGACAGTGTCCCATGTGGGCGGTTGGGGTTTGAGTATGCTGAAAAGGAGCTAAAGATAGAAGGGATGAAATCCTATTGAGTTGCAAAATCAGGTTTTGTATCTTAAATACTTGAACCAGATTTGAGCAGGTCCTATCTTTACATTGCTTTTCTTCCCTTTGCCATACTTTAATGTTCTCTAATCAGCATGATATATTTCCATTTATATTATAGCAGTATATATATTACTGCAGTTATTTTGTCATATAAGTGACAGCTGTGACGAGTTAAACGTCATGATTGGAAATACAGTGGTCTGTTTACTGGGTTTTCTTGTTAACCTAATTAGTTGGGGAAATTGCTTGGAACTAATACTTCTTACTAGATTGTAACTGTTTTATACAACTCACTTTTTTTTGTCGGTTCTGTTAGTTGGTCATTTTTATAATTTTTAGAAATTGGTTGCTTTACTCACCCCAGGTTGTCATTTATGAACCAACGCCATTTCAGCGCCAGCACTCTGAAAGTTCAGCTTTCTTTGTTCTCTTAATGTATTTCTGAGAGGAGAAGGTTGAATCTCCAAATTTCAGCTAGAAGAGGAGTTACGTAGTATGGTAATGGGTTGGCTAGACAGGACACTGCCAGTGTGTCCTCAAAAGTAATCAACTAGGAAGTACTTGTTGAAATGAAATAACTTGGATTAGCCACAGGTGTTTGGCTAGCTGAATAAATCTGAAATGAACATAAGAGCAAAACAAAATTTAAAGAAGCTGGTGGTGATAGAGATTTAATAAATGTATTAAGAGTCCCAGTACTGGGTAGTCAGGCAGCATGTAAACTATTTTGAGTTGTAAATAAGCTGCTCACTCTACTGACTTGGAAGAGGTGGTACTTGATCACTGATGCTTACATCGAAAAAACGTGTTGGAACCTTGGAAAAACAACCTTTGAGAGGTTGCTGGTTTTTCCTCTATGATCCTGTTGTCCTTCGATTCATTCACAACACATTTCTCTGGCTTGCTAGATCCTCATTCCCTCTCCTTTAGCTATAGTGAACGTTATATATTAATGTTTACAATAACAGAAACTTACTGCATGACTTCTAAACCTGATTTGTCTTAAGTAAATGCTCAGTTACCTAGTCTTGAAGTGTCCTGTAGAGGACACGTAGAAGTAAAACCACAGGGCCACCTAAAATGGTGTTTGTTGAGATGATGTGGGTTCAGACTCGGTACAGGGGCTGTTTCAGACCACTGCAGCGAAGTGAGTCAGAGGAGTTTTGTTTCCTAGAGCATATGAAAGTTACACTTTTGGAGTATGTTGATGTTTACACAGGAACGTACGTCAGCCTGTCTCTGCTGCTGTATTACCGAGAACCCCTGTGCACTCCTTAATGAAAGGACTTTCACTGCCACCACACTAGTCTAGCCTTTTATCAGTTGAAATAATTTTCCTATTGCTCTTCCCACCACCATGGTTTTCTACCATAGGAAGCAGTAGAGTAATGGGAATTTGGGGGTTTTCTTATTTTTAAAATTTATGTTAGTGTTGGCAGTGGAACAGCCTTGCTTGAAGTTGGAGATAGCTGTGTCTCCTGCTGGAGGGGAAACAGGGAAAAACATTATCATTTGCCCTTTGCCTTCAAGTATACTCTCCTGGTAGATTAGTATTTGATAAGTCATAAATTATCTTACTCTTACTAGTATATTTGCTCAGCATCATACTTTAAAGTGGAAAATTCCCACGGACTGGTGGGCAGAGGAGGGTCAGGAATTTGGTTTTTTGTTTTTTTTTCAATAGTAAGATATTTACATGCTTCAGAAAGGTTCAAAAGTATATACCACCAATTTCCAGCCTCCTGTGCTGCTGCTTGTTACCCGGTGTTAATAATCTGTCATGTATCCTACCTAAGAAGTTGTGTACATATGTAAGCAAATGGATCTGTGTTTCTTCCCACCCCTACTTAAAACCCTTCCCCCCACTTTTTGAAAAGCACTTGCTGGCATTTAATGAACCTCCCTCCATGTGGCTTCAAGCTACTGGGACGCAGCCAGTCTTCCCCCCCGTCCCGTCCGCCCTCCCCCATGACCTTCATCTCCTCAGTTCTTCTGAAGAATTTGCCCCTCACGATAACAGGCTGCTTGGGGAGCTTTCCCTTCCCCAAAACTTCATAGGAGTCCGATCACAGCACATTAGTGATGGGAGCAGCTCCAGGCTTGTTTCTGGCAGCATTTACCCTTCAGCACCCCCCCCCACACACACACACTTAAAATACAACAGCACATCTATGTCTTGCTGCAGTGTACATTTTTCTCCTATTTAATTTGGATTTGATTTCATAATAGGACAAAAAGAGCTTCCCTATTGTTGACTGTTGCGTAGTAGTTCCTCGTGATGTGTCTGTATTTATCGAACTAGCTCCCCTTCGTGAACATATAGGTGTTTTCCAGTCTGTTGCCATTTTAACCAGTGCCGTGAGTAACCACACATTTTGCTCAGGTGCAGATTTAGTTTGTAAGACATAAAACCCTAAAAGTGGAATTACTGGGTGAAGGGACATTTACAATTGTCATTTTGATAGATCACGGCACACAGCCCTCGTGAGGGTTAGGCCACTTCACCCCATCACCTGTGCCCTTCAGTTGTTTATTCATCTGATGGGTAAAGGTGGTAATAGTAATAGGTTTCGTCTCACCATAATAAAATATTTTCATAAAGATGCTGTTTCCTGCTTGTGACCCGCCCATTGTTTTTTTGTGTGTTGTTGAGATTATTCTTCCTAACTTGTTAGAGCTCTTTATGTTACAAATATTAATCCTGAGATTTTTTTTTCCTCTTGTTTGTCATTTGTTTTTTTACTTTGTTTTAGAATGGATTTTGCTATGCTGAAAATCATGAAGTCAGAATTACCAGTATTTTCATTTGGCTTTGTGTCTTTTTTTTCACTTTAATGTCATTTTTTTAGTTTTCTCATGGTATCTGCTACCACATTTATGGTTTTTGTTTTATCCTTTAGGTGTCGATTGATCTGAAATTTATTTTGGTAAAAGCATTTTAAAAGAAGATTTCAGTGTACACTACACAAAACTAGAATAGTGTGGTGAAGGTTCCATATACCTGTCCTATGTCAGATTCAACAGATAGTGAGATTATGTCATAACTGCTTCATGTATACGTATGTTCATATGGTTTCTTTTTAATTTATGGTAATATATTATTTATCCTTCTTATCTATTTTTCTATCTATAAAAATGTTGTGCTCTTTTTAATACTCCCATATTCTTTATGTAGGAAAAAAATTACCCCCTAAGACACTCAGGTTTATAACAACCATACTCTCCTGCCTGTTCTGGTATGGGGTAAAGAACAAGGCAATTCTAGATTTTTAGGGATACCCGTAAATGTGTTACTTATTTGGGTTCTTGACCTTAGTAAGTCCTGTAGAATATGTTAAAATACTCTAGTCCCAAGACAATAAAATGAACAGCTGGCCCCGCCTGGCCTGTCAGCAGAGGGAGCCCTTTTCTTCCCTGAAGAACTTGGTATCCACAGGAAGTCTGGGTTGGTGCTGCGAGAATTTCCTTCCATGCATTTTCATGCTGAATGTTAATTGGTGTGACTTTGTTCACATATTCTGTGTTTCTTATATGTGTGTTATTTATTAACAAGTCTTTATGTCAGTATTTGTGACTGTTTCAGTAACCATAGCTAAAGTTTTTTTATGATGTCCATTGAAATCAAAATTGTGTGTTAACTTAGAATTAGATAAAAGATGATTTTTTTAAGAAAATCATTTCCCTGATACTCATATGTACTTGCCATGTTTTTATTCTACCCTCCACTTCAGCCCTGAAAGTTATCAGCCCCTCCAAAAATTCTGACAGTTTTAGTGTCTATCTTTCAAGACATTTTGTTATCTAATTAAGTAAATAAGCACATAAACATTTATAGGCTTTGTTTATTGGTTAAGTTTTTACAATTATAGTCACTGTTGATACAGTTTGAAGCTTGCCTTTTTTTTTTTTAACTTAACAGTATGTCATGAGAAACACTGCTTTGTTTGATGTCTTACTGCCCGCAGAAGCCAGCATCTCATGGTCCCCACATGGTGTCTAAAACTCCCTAATTTAACCGTGTTCTCCAATCAGATCTTCCTTATGGATCAGTCATAATATTCTTTGAGCTCAGCCTGTTGCCGTCTCATAGACACAGTGTTGCTTGTGTAGGTCTTTGCTCTCTACCCCTTCCACTGCTCTCCCACTGGCTGCACATCCATAAGGGCCTGGCTCTCTCCACCACACCACGCTGATCCTTGTCTGTTCCCCAGGCCACGTTCGTTTGTGTCTTCTCACTCCCGTGTATGCTCTGTGCTTTCCTGTCTCACACTCCACTAATGATCCAGAGCTGCCTCACACAAACTCTGCTTGTTGAGATCAGCAAACGTCATGATGCCATGATGCGTGTTTAAGACAAGCTCAGAGTACTTCTGCATCACACATACAGAGTGTCATTGCGATTCTGTAGGTCGATCACTCAATTTTTAATGCCTCCAACAGCTTTTCTAACACTGGGCCTTGTGGACGCTATTTCAGGTACATGGTGGAGGCCTGGACGTTCCTGCGGCAGCACTCCACCAGTCTGAACGTCGAGCAGCTCCTGACGCACACGTACAAGGTCTGCCAGGAGACGGGCCTCATGGAGGACTTGCTGAAGCTGCCTTTCACAGACCTCGAGCAGGTAATGATGCCCCAGCATCCGCTTGGCGGAAATGCAGGAGAAGTGAGTAGCTGATGAGTGTTTTTGGTTCTTCCTAGGACTGCCTGGTGAGATTTTTGCAGTCCAGCACCAACGTTCGGAATCACGAATTCCTTCTAGTTCACTATCTGCAGCGTGCCAATTACGTTTCTGCCCTGAGGCTGAACCAAACTCTGAAGACCAATTTTTCGGTATAGTGAAACGTGTTTCATTATGGGGGACAAGAGAATAAGGAGAGGTGGTAATTTTGTTGTGTGAGAGTTTCTAGTTTGGTAACCACTGGGTGCTTCGTATCCTCTTGAGCTTGGAGAACCCTTGTCTGACCTTCTCTAGCACGTTGGGAACAGGGCATTATTACTACTTAACCTAATTCTTTTACATATGCCATTTCTATTTAGATAACTGCCCACAGTCTTGCCCGACTAACCACTTCACTCAGGGGGAACGAGAGGAAGAGGTAGAGGAGCAGTGGGAGTTACGTAGTGCTCAGACGGATTCTTTTTTGTGCTTTGCTCTTGGAACACATTCTCTGAGCCTTGGTTCTTCATCAGTAAAATGACAGTGTCTCTTTGTGGGGATGCGCACAGGTGTGTCTGAGGTGATCTGTCCCCTGACCCGTGTAGATGCTTGGTACATGATGATCATTGTTGTTAGTCATGGTGAAGACTCGAGCCGGGGGCGGGGAGGGATGGAACTTACGGACGGATGAGGACTGATAATGCAGTCAGGTGTGTGTAGGAGGTCCTTGGTGTGGAAGAATGAATATGTAGGGAGAAGGAAGATAGTCTTAGGTATTCAGAATTAATGTTTTGAATGGTAAATACATAAACATAGCGCTTTTGAAGATTAAATTTTTACCAATGACGGCATGTTCAATAGAATGATCGTGATCCTCGTTTGCGGGAGAGATCAGAGGTTCGAAATGCTATAGTAGAGCAGTATGGCAAAGTCCTTCCTAAAATCCAGCGAAGATTAGCCATTGAGCAAGCTAAGCCTTACCATCTGTCCACATCACCTGTTCTTCGAGAAGGTAAGATTTGATTGAAAACTATTGTAAAGTACTGGGTGAGAAAGGACATCAAGTGATTACCTCCTGAAACCATTGTTCTCTTATATTTACCTAACTTTGGCTTTGATTCATTACTATGGTGCTTTTTTTTTTTTTAACTGGGCCACTCCCACCAAATGTAATGCTTTCTGGGAGGATTTTATAGTTGATTTAGCAGTGTAGTACAGAATAAAAAACTCATTTTATTTCGCTTGGACACTCCCGTCCAACTGTTAGAGAACATGTACAGTAATTTTTTCACTGCCTCCAAAAGCCGCAGGTTGTTACATTTCTGCATAGATGTTTCTGAACTAAGTATAACCTGTAACTGCTTCTTATCTTGTGAGCCCCGTGTCCCAGTCCCTCTTTCATATTCATCTTCTAGTAAAATCCTGGTGTTAGAGAGGAAATAAACCCTGCATTCTTTGCCTTACAGTTTCTAGACCCCAACCATTGTCCACTGTTACAAAGCAAGCTGCAACAGGGGCTGTGTTAACAAGATCTGCTTTCATCAGTAATGTGTTGTCTAAAATTGGAGAGATTTGGGCATGTACTGAACCTAAAGGTGGCCCCCCAGCCCACAAGAGGTATGCTTTCCTTACACCTGTTATGGTCTTGCTGCTCGCTAATCTTTCCCCGGTATCAGAAGCGGTCAGCAACTGTCCAGCCTTGGAGTTTATTCGTCTGTGTAAAAAGGAAAAACTCCTCTGTGTTGACTATTTTTATAGTAAGAAGAGTTTTTTTGTTTTTTTTTTTGGTCTTTAACTTTAAAAGCAGTTATATTTATTGTAATTTGTAAATAAGCGGAAATGTACAAAGTAAAAAGTGAAAGCCCTCTCCTCCAAGGAGCTAATCCCGCCTTCTTAAAGCATATTTTGATACTCTTTGTAATACATGCTGAAAAATTAAATTTTTATTTTCTTTGTAGTCCTAAAAGAGAACCATCTCCTCTCCCACATCCACAAGTGCCTGAGGCATTTGTTGGAACACCAATTTTAAAAGCATCACAAAAGGTTTCTAGGTAAGAATTAAATCATTTTAAAATCACAATGTTAGATAATAATTACACTGTCATTTTTAATTATCTTTAAAATGTTACAGTATTTTAAATTCTTGAGTGAGTTTTTAATGCTTTTAATTTTTTTTTTTTATAATTTGGAAAGTAGTGTAGTAATTTTAGCACCAGCTGCTAACCTACTTAGAATTTTGGCTTAATGATTTCAGACTGCTTAGAGAAAAGAAGCAAATTTTGTTTTATTAAAAATCATGAGGAAAGTAAACTGTTAACTTGCTGCTTTTCATATCACTTACTTTTTTTTTTAAATATTTATTTATTTGAGAGAGAGAGAGAATGAGAGATAGAGAGCATGAAAGGGAAGAGGGTCAGAGGGAGAAGCAGACTCCCTGCTGAGCAGGGAGCCTGATGTGGGACTCGATCCTGGGACTCCAGGATCATGACCTGAGCCGAAGGCAGTCGCTTAACCAACTGAGCCACCCAGGCGCCCTCATATCACTTACTTGTTGATTGATCCCTGAATGCAGGTTATTTTTAGAATTCGTAACTAATCTTGGTCGGCTCATTGAAACTTTCTCCTGTACAACAGAGCCCACTAAAATGCCTTCCATGGCTTCAGATCAGTAATACTTGTACAACTTAAACTGTGGTATTAGAAAAGTAAATAATTAAGTCGAAGTTTTCCATCCAAGATGAAATTGTGATTGTATTTCATTTAAGAATATTGGATAGTTGAAATAGGTGTTCATATCCTCAATAGCAGAGAACAAACAACTGTCTCCTAATATTTGCTTCCTTGTCTTTAACAGCATGCTTGTGATTATTATAAATTTCAATAACAAAATTGCGTTACTTTTGAGAATAAAATGACCTGAATTTACAATAGAATAAGGTACTCAGAATAAGTTAATAATTTACAAACAGTTGGAGCCAAAGCTGTTCAGAGTGGGCATATTTTCAAAGCATGAAAGGGTTTTCTGTTTGGGGGATTTAGATTTACTTAGATTGATGTTTTCCTTTAATTATCAGGAAGATTATTTCAAATAAAAGTCGTTATTATTATCATTCTGTTTTCCTAGAGTAGTGTTCCAGTTTTTCCCCACAAGTCACTTTTTCTAAGTCCCTTTGTACTTTAATAGATCTGGGGTCTGGGGTTCAGGAAGGGAGCAATAATAAAAGTTTTCAGATTCATGACTAATGGCCTAAGGTCCTAAAGAAAAGTATTATGAGAATCCTACAAAGCTATGATTAACTCAGATGGAAGAAAGTCAATTGAGCTGTGAATATTTATTTTTATAGAAATCATTCCATTCCCTAATTCTGTTTTTCAGACTGGTTTGCATTAGTGGGTAGTATGTAAACTTGATTGTGAATAGCGTATCTTTCAGTGGAATAGCAGAGGTGACATCACTGGGCACTGCATACAGTAAGGCTACGTGCTGTTCTGTGCAGTGTGTGTTTTGTGTATGTGTATGATCTGAAACGCATTACTAATGTTTATCATGCTCAAAGATTTGTGGAAATCCTAAGATCTGATGCAGTATTTAACATTTTTAAAGAAAATATAATAAAAAAATACTTTTCCTGATAATTGTTTTAGTATTTAGTATTTAAAAGTATTCTTATTAGTATAAGAATTTTGTTTTTACTCAGTTGGTACCTTTGTTAGACAGGCCCTGCTTTTGAGAAGCAGTCATTCATAAATGATTGAACACCTTGAACATGAATACTAACACAGTGCGAGGCAATTAACAAAATTCCAATTTGGGATAGTTCAGTATAAAAGTGAGCAAACGGTTTACAAATACAGATTTTGAATACAAATGAGGTAAAGAAGGAAAAGAAGAATTAGAACAGACAATAAAGACACAAATGTTAGTGGCCTGATGGGATATTTTTGGTTTGGTGGAAGTCTCAAAGCTGTGTTTCGTACAGAATAATAAGCAGTAAGGGTTAAGGAAATGCTTCCTGTAAATATTTCCCACCGGGCACCAGGTTGGGTCTTAAAGCACCCATCTGTGATCTGTGTTCATCTGCCATCCCATTTGTGAAGAAGGACAAGGAAGGTACAGCCATGGGGAGTTTTTATTCCTGGGCACTGGGACATGCTGGACCTTTCCGGTCATTTTCAGCTGAACCACAGAGCACAGAGTCATTTTGGAGAAGTAAAAATGTATTGTTTGTATTGCTAGGAAATATGACCATAAAATAGACTATTCATTAGAAAATTGCCTATGCAAAGGATCCATCAGAAATTGTAGCCTGAAAATTTCACTTTCAAGTTTAAATTCTTTATCTGTGAATTAAGTTTTCAAACTCTTGGGACTGTGCATGCTTAATACAAGTTATCGATGAGATCAGTTTTATCATTTGTATGAATTACATCAGGACATTACAGAAAACCAGCAGAATCTGGAGATTCCATTTTGTCACTGACCTCATTAATTTGAAAAAATTAACTTTTTATGTGTGTTGGTGCTCAGTCTTACTGCAATAAAAACCATAAAAGTAAAGCAAACCAGTATTCATTATGTATGTCACATGTAGATAAAAGGAATTTTTTGTGTTCATAAAGAATTGTAGCAAATGAATTTATTTTATCAGTGAGAATATTGGTGAGAGGGAGGGCGGGGGACTAGAGTTTGTTTTTTTTTTAATTGTTATCTAGAATTCCTAATTCTCAGTTTTACTACTGAATTAATTTTCTGACTTTTTGAAGTAATGGCATTATATTAACATCCTGACTGAACTTATAATTTCATGTGGTTACCATATTTGCCAGTGAATATAGAAGTCTAATTACATGGCATGATAAATTTTTTGGGTTTTTTTTCACCATAACTTGATAAGTTAGTTACCTGGGCCTTTCTGTGTACCGTGTGCCTGTACTGTGATTACAGACCGCTGGATTTGGTCGTTCATCCTGTGCGCCAGCCTTGTCAGCGTTTGGGATTTATTCAGCAAACCCCCAAAAGATCTCCTTTATACCTGGCATCCAGTTCATTGTTCAAAGGATCACATCACAGTCCCTCCAGGACTGTAGAATTACGTGTACTTGAAACTCCTTTCGTGGTGAAGGTAAGTTCTCACGTGTCAAGCAGCAGGGAGAAATAAGCTATCTCTTACTGATGTCTCTGGGTAATGGACAGCATTAAGCCTGTTCGGGGGGAGTTACCTTTCTATAATGTTTATTGTATCTTTACATCTTCTTAGATAGGATTTTACAACATTTACCCTTTGTGCTTACCTGATGTACTCAAGGTTAACAATTACATAGTTGTTCTGAGGGTAATCCAAGTCTCTATGGTTATTACAAGTTGAAACCTTAAATTAAGACCTTTGAAGAAAAGCTTTCACGTTCTTGGGTTTGCCCCCCACCACCACCATTTCTGCTACCATTTTGCTGTTACTTCTTCCTTCTGTCATATGCTTTTTTTTTTATTTTGTTTTAAAGATTTTATTTTTTATTTATTTGACAGAGAGAGATACAGCTAGAGAGGGAACACAAGCAGGGGGAGTGGGAGAGGGGGAAGCAGGCCTCCCGCGGAGCAGGGAGCCCCATGTGGGGCTCGATCCCAGGACCCCGGGATCATGACCTGAGCCAAAGGCAGACGCTCAACCGGCTGAGCCACCGAGGCGCCCCTCTGTCATATGCTTTTGGTTCTCTGGTTTCTTTTTTTATTTATTTAAATTCTCTCCTTAGATGAAACTGCACTCTGTTACTCCTTCTTACTAGCAGTATATCTGTCTTAATTCTTTTCCTCCACCATCTCTGATAAATCATTAGCTGGGAAACCACAAAACTAGACTTGTGGTGGCGGGGAGTGGGCACCTTTTCCCATCCTGTTAGAATGGTTTCACAGCACTTGTGCGCTGACAACTTGCCCAGCGTCCTGGATTGAGTCCCGAAGCGCCCTACCTTCATTTCTTTCCATTGTTTCTGTATATTCAGCATGGAGAGTGAAGCCAGGGGATTCTTTTTTTTTTTTTAATTGTATTTATGAGAGAGAGAGAGAGAGAACAAGCAGGGGAGGAGGGGCAGAGGGAAAGGGAGAAGCAGGCTCCCCGCTGAGACAGCCTGACATGGGACTCGATCCCAGGACCCCGGGATCATGACCTGAGCTAAAGGCAGACACTTAACCAGCTGAGCTACCCAGGTGCCCCTGATTCTTACCTTACAAGGTGAATAAAAGATAGTTCAACAAATATCAGTCCTAAAATAGTTACTAAAACAAGTGGAAAAGAAGATTGGTGAGCTTTTTAAGTGCCTGATACTTTCCAGGGCTGTGATTCCTGTTTTTATCCATTAAAAAAATTACATTTTGTATTCTCTAAATTAAGGAATAATTTTGTGTCTGCTACCAAAAACAATCTTGAAAAAAAAATCAGTATAATATTGTAATGGATCTAATGGAATTTAGTGATCTAATGGAATACAACCATCTGCTTGCTAATCCTTCAGAGGAGAAGTGAAGTGAAGGAGTTATTGCTGCTAAATAGTTTCTGTGCTAATTATTTTTATTAATTCTGGTAAATCTTCAGGATTCTCATAAGTCATGAGTTACTGTTGGATTCATGAGATGAAATTATATTTCTTATAAAACATTCTTAAAGTCAGGCTTATCATTTGTATTAACTTGCTATAATGAAGCTTGGTTCTTTTCTACACACACTGTCCTGTCTCTTTACCTAACTAAAGTTTTGTAGGCACCCATTAAATAATTTATCTCTGCACTCTCTCTTTTAAGTTATTAAACTGGGAATAACCAAGACCTTAAAAGAATGATTGTGGATGTAGTTTTATGTTTTGTAGCCTTATGTATAGAAACCTCTTGAGTAGAATTTTGTACTTTCCAGTAATCCGTAAAAAAAACTTTTTTTTTTTAAAGATTTTATTTATTTATTTATTTGAGAGAGAGAGAATGAGAGATAGAGAGCACGAGAGGGAAGAGGGTCAGAGGGAGAAGCAGACTCCCTGCTGAGCAGGGAGCCCGATGTGGGACTCGATCCCGGGACTCCAGGATCATGACCTGAGCCGAAGGCAGTTGCTTAACCAACTGAGCCACCCAGGCGCCCTGTAAAAAAAACTTTTTATTGATGTTCTATTGGAGTTGAGTATGTTGTGACTCAGTTGACCTTGTCTGTCCTTATGTAAGCGGCTTTTACAGACACTAATGGTGGAATTCTGTTCGTTCTTTGTTGCAGAGAGCTAAAACTTTGGCCATGTCAGTTACTTCCTCTGGATTTGCCGAGTTCACTCCTCAGTCCATCTTAAGGTCTGGTCTTCGAACGCCACCTTTACCCTCTCCCTCTCTGTCACCTGGAAGGTCCGTTACCCCTCCCTTACGACTTAAGGAAACTAGAATTTCATTTATGGAAGAAGGCATGGCCACAAAACGGATTCCTGGAGTAAGTTTGATAATAGTTGGTACAAATTAAGAATATATTAGCTTTTATAAGTAAAAAGTCAGATAAATCAATTTTCGAGAGAGAGAGGGAGAGAAAGAGTATGAGCCGGAGGAGGGGCAGAGGGAGAGGCGGACTCCCCACTGAGCAGGGAGCCTGACTTGGGGCTCGATCCCAGGACCCAGAGATCATGACCTGACCCAAAATCAGATGCTTAACTGACTGAGCCACCCAGGTGCCCCACATAAATCAATATGACTGTAGATGTTTATATACAGTCTCACAGATAGCATGAAATCAGAAAACACTGGTTCAGTAAAAATCTCATGGCACTGAGTGACCAAGCCAAACCAATCCTTTACAACTGAAGTTTTAAAATAGGGCACAGAAGCACCAAGCAAATTGCCTATAATCAAATGGCTATTTGGTGGCAGAAATGGACTACAGTCAAGACCTCCAAATTTCTTAGTCCATGTTTTTTATTTGTTGTTTTTTTATACCTCATATTGTGTCGGCTCTCTTCCTAAGCTCCTGATCGGGTGTCTGTTGAGACGGTCTGTGGTCAGAGCTCCATCGTGGGTTAATAGGAAACCATTTGGTAGTAGTGGGTCATCTTGCTTAGTCTGTGTCTTAGTCTTTTGGAAATACCGTTTTATTCCCAATCAGGGAACATTAACAACCATTAACTTTCATGTATCTGGAGAGAATGGATTTAGAATAAATGAGTTGACTGAGAAGAGAATCTAGAGAAATACCAAACATGAAAAGGATGTAAGTAATCAGTTACTGTTGATTGGAGATGGAGAGCTTAGATGATTTCTCCTAGTAAATTTTTTTTTTCCCAAAACCTTTTACTTGACAGGGTGCAGATGACAGCAAAACGAGACTGTCTGTTACTACACCTCTCCATAAATGTGGAGGTCCAGCAAAAAGCGAATGGCTGAAAAGCAAAGCCAAGACAACAGCCTTCTCCCTGAGTAGTCTTGAAAAGGACCATCAGGAAGTGGAAGTGAGGTCCCAGGATACCCCTTCCCAGAGTTTGGAGAAACTGGATATGAGCCGAGAAAGTAGCGGTGCCTCCACCAGGTCAGACCAGACTACCTTGGAGTATCAGGATGCACCGTCACCAGGAGACTTGGAAGATATTTTCGTGGCCTCGAGGCCAGAGAGCTCTTCCACAGAACTCATTATTAATTTAACTGAACCGACTGAGAAGGACAGTGATAAAGATGTGCTTGAATCAGAAGTGACTCCTCCAGACCTAGAGAAACAAACGGGTAAGACCTCCTTTCCAGATATTCAAAAAATGTGTAGAATTCTTTCCACCATAAGAAAAGCATCAGGATTAAATAATTACAGGATCCCAGTGTACTAGGTTCTAGACACAATGCACACATCTGCCTTAAGGCCATATTGTAGCTGTGAGAAGTAATAATTACTAACCTCCAGTCTGGGTTGTTATTACAGTTTCTAACTTTCCAGCAGCCTCAACTTTCTAGAAAGCTGCTCAGAAACCAGGTCAGTCATTTCTTTTCACCATCCCTATCTTTCAGAATAATCAAAATCATCACTGGATGATCCACACAGATATCCAGAGGCCCATGAATTTAGAGTCTTTAAGTTTACTTCTATATTAAAAAGATTTTGAGCCCCTAATGTATGTGGACAAACAGGTAGGCTCCCCTTGTGTGTGTGCTCCGTGTTGAGGAGCCTGCCCCTCCCTGCAAGTAATTTAGAGCCTCGTGGACTAGATACATAAACAAACAAGCATTTACAGTGTAGTTGGAAAAGCATTCCTTTAGGAGGCATGAAAGGGGCCAGGGAAACACCAGAGAGAGGGGAGAGACTCGGCTTAGAATCAGATCAGAAGGGGCGTCTGGGTGGCTCAGTCGGTTAAGCAGCTGCCTTCGGCTCAGGTCATGATCCCAGAGTCCTGGGATTGAGTCCCGCATCAGGCTCCTTGCTCAGCGGAGAGCCTGCTTCTCCCTCTCCCTCTGCCTGCCTCTCTGCCTACTTGTGCTCTCTATCTCTCTGTCAATTAAATAAATAAAATCTTTAAAAAAAAAAATCGGATCAGAAAATTTAGCCTATTTTTGGTTTCGTAGCCCTGCACAGTTTTAACAAGCACATTTAAAGGTAACTCCTATCTTTAAATCTGTAAAACTAAATACTTCAATAAAAATCTCTGTCATACTGGTTTCTTTGGGGCTGTGATGTCTTTGTATAATAAACACAAGCATTATTGCTCTAAGAGCCTAGGACTGTCCTCGTGAATAGCATCTGTCTACAAGTGTACATCAGTCCAGATGTGCTCTGTTCCACCAAAATAGTTGAATGATAAAACAGATGAGGATGTTTATGGCCGTATCTTCATTGATTATTCCTAAAAAGATGAGGCAGTCTCAAATAGAAACTTGTATTGTTTTCATGGGGTATTATATAGCACGAAATATAGGGTGAAACAGGCTAGCTGTGAATTTCAGCTACTTACACGGCCTGGGATAAGCAGTGTAACTGTGTGCTTCTGTGTCCTCATCTGTAAAATGGGGATAATGGTCCCCCCACTTGGGTTGTCGAGGACTGAGTCGCTCTCTGTACAGCACTTGCATGTTAAGTCTCAAGTGAGGGAAGCGGTAGGGTACGGGGGCTCCCGGGCTGGGCTCGGGCTATTCGAAAGACCTGTTGGCATTCTGAGGCCAACGGAGTAAACCTAAAAGTGCAAAAGAGCAGATCCAACAAGCTTGTTAAAAAGTAGTCATCCAAGAAAGATCATGAGTACTCGCAAAACAGTCGGCATAAGTGATGGTAAGTATCCTTCCTGCTGATTCGTAGGCACCGTAGACGACGCGAAGACAAAGGACCTCTTGGTTGCAGAGGAGGTGCTTGCAGACTTCAGTCCCTTGCGCCCCATTCCAGGAGGTGGAGCTTCCCGCTGTGCTCCGCCAGCCCACGACGGGTAAGCTAGCAGGGAGAGCTGCTCGTGCTCAAAGTGTGAGGAGATGGTGAGCCAGAAGCTTCCTATTCTGTGCGTAGTTGAGCTTTTTTTTTCAGACCTTGGGCATTCCCGCTTTGGTACTGGTTTCTGTTGTGAAGGACATTCATTTGTACAAGTGTGCGTTACATAGTAGTTATTGTGAAGTCTTAGAACGATACTAGATACTTCCTGAATATACAAAGTCATGATGAAGTGAGGCAGATCTCCTTTTATATTCTTTGGTGATTTATATTTGTTGAAGCCCTCCTGGTTTCAGGTTGATGAAGTGGGTCTCCTACGGCATCAAGATGGAGTATAGGGGACATGGCTCAGAGGCATTTGTGTTCCCTACCATGTGGTGAATACGAGACTCCAGCAAAGGTTTTCGTTTGTAATGACTGCTTGAACTATTAGTTTTATTCAGTGTTTGTACATTCAGGCACTGTACTAGATGATGTGGGGTCTACCAGCCTGATGCTGCTCAGTGGGGTCTAAGAGCTTGAGGCCAGGCCCCAAATAGTTTGTGGTTGCAATAAGACAGGCAGCTTGTATTAGACTCTAAAAACTAGTACATCACTTCCTTTCCTGAAAGTCAGCTCAACGCATCAGTGAAGTGATTGACTGCCGTTCTGGCAAAATCTCCTTCTCTTTGTTGCAAGGCTGGACACCTTGCGTGTCAGGACTTGGAGCAACACTGTTGTAGAGAATACCAAAAAGTTGCAACTTTGATTATTGTGAAGTGTAGTGAGGGTGATTTACTAAGATTAATCCTTATAAAACATGGTCATTTAAGATACCATAAGTGGTTCATTGCTTTGTAAGTCCCGAGGGAGTTCACACACCACCCACAAAAATCACTATCGTAATAGTCACATCTCCTACTTTGAACCCGATCATATGCTTCACTTCTGAGAAGAGAAATCCTGATCAGCTGCAGTCTTTGCCAGGCCTCCATAGAAAAAGTGGGAGGAAACTATAAAAGGATTATCTCGATTGTTTATTTCTAATATTTCTTGAATTTTAATGAAAATAGTATTGCAGTGGGTTTGATGGAGAATTGCAACAGTTGCAAAGCAAAAAGTAATCACATGACAAGAAACTTTGTGGTTACTGGTAATCTAGGCGAATCGTCACCATCATGACAATCCTATGTCCTTTTTAAATATAAATGTATTAGTTGTTGCTTCTTGGTTATCCTAACATTGTGAGATGGAGATAAGTCTTAAAAATACATCTATAAGGGCGCCAGTTAAGTGTCTGCCTTCAGCTTAAGTCATGATCTCAGGTCCTGGGATTAAGCCCCTTGTCAAGCTCCCTGCTCAGCGGGGAGTCGGCTTCTCCCTCTCCCCTCCCCCCACATTCATGCTCTCTCTCAAAATCTTTTAAAAAAAAAAATCTATAAAATAAGTATATATTCCAAATGCATGTTTTTTCTTGAATTTATTTTATAATTTTATTTGTCCCATTTAAAAAAAAAATCACGCTTCTGTTGGGTTTTGGGAAAGGGCCTATTCAGAATAGGAAGGGATCACTGTCCCCATATTTCCAGAACTTAATTTCACCAAGTGGCTTAATACAGGTCCCATTGGTCTCCTGCTGTGAGTCTTTTTTCATACTCTTTCCAGATAATACTAAAATAGTGAACCTGATTTTACTGAGTATATAGGAAATACTCCATAATATCTGATAGACTTAAGAATGTGCCCACAGATAATTAAAAACTGGCATACGTGTAATTTATATCGACCAGCATTTTAAAATAATTTTATTTGTAGTTGAAAGCCATGCATATTAGAAAGTGGGAATACCAAATACAGCATTACTTGTTTCTAAATTCACTTATAAATTTTATAGTGTTATTTAAAACGAACTTGGGTGGTATTAAGTTCTCCGAACCTCGGTTTTTATTACCAAAATGACATATAGCAGAGAAGAGCAGTTGGGACCTTCTTAAACACTAATGCATGTATTTCTGTTTCTAAAGGAAAATCCTCACCCTGAAATCCCAGGTACCAGTTTTAGACGAAGGACTAGTATCTGTTGAGACCACCTCTGCATTTAGAGCAGGTAACAGTCAATGTGTGTATTATTTTGACTTTAGAATTATTTCATTTTAGGGGCGCCGGAGTGGCTCAGTCGGTCAAGCATCTGACTCTTGATTTTGGCTCAGGTCATGACCTCAGGGTGGTGGGGTGGAGCCCTGCATCAGGCTCTGTGCTCAGCATGGAGTCTGCTTGGGATTCTTCCTCTCCCTTGCCAACACCCAACCCCCTCCCTGGCTCACACATGAGTACACACGCACTCTCCCCTCCCCCCCCCAAAAAAACAACAAAAAAATTAGTGTTTTAAGAGTTTTCTTATCTCAGTTCTTACTCTTTGGTCAGGTTCCATAGCTGTAAGTAGCCTTGTGTTCTAAGGAGATGTATCAGAGCAGTGAGTTGCTTGTGAGGCGCTCTGTGGTCTAAAAGCAGACGTCTTAGAATGGTTTTTGTGGACATATTTTCCTTCAGAACATCAAAGAAGAGTAAAATCAATTACCAGTCCCCAGCCAGGCGGCATATCTGCTTTTCTGTCTTCTGGGACTCCAGTATCTACATGGGGCAACTTCTATTTTTTAACTTAAGGCCAAGATTGGCTTTTTATTAGTGGAAAATAATTACAGATGACTGCATTTGCTCTAGGGAAATTAACAAATATGTAGAATTCATTTGATTTTGTTTTTTCAATCCAATGACTTCATTCTTTCACACACTGATAATTGGAAGGTAAAGTGCTTATTTTCCCGCTCCTCTTTGCCAAACAGGTGAAAAACTTCCCTCATTTTGTTTTATAAGCTGTCTTTGTATTTTAGGGATACCAGGCCCATTATCTGTTAAAAGCATGCAAATATTTTTTCCTTGGTTTTTTTTGTTTGTTTGTTTTACTTTTTTATTGGGGTGCTTGGATGGCTTAGTCTGTTAAGCATCCAACTCTTAATCTCAGCTCAGGTCTTGATCTTAGGGTCACTTAAAAAAACCCCAAAAACCTTTTTACTGATTTTTGTTAAACACTGAAGGGTTTTGATTTAGTCAGATTCTACCCCCCTCCCTCCACCCCAAAATGCTTTGGGTGTCGTTCACAAACCCAAATGACATAAAACTATGAGTGCTAATGACATAGAAAACTTAGTCAAAGAGGAATGTAAAAGATGAGGATTTATTTTTTTTAATGAGCTGTCACCCTCCCTTAGCTCCCCTCTAGGTTTTTTGTTTTTTTTTTTAAATGGTAGAGTATATTTTTGGCCATTTGGATGCTTTCTGCCAAAAGAGAGATACCTAGTCCTTTTCACGGTGAGATACAGCCCAGACTGCAGGTCCCTCTTGTCATTATACTGAAGTTTCACAGTAAGGGCCGGAATTATACCTAAGTTGGAAAAAAAACAAAAAAAACCACCATTGTCATTTTTAAGTGTAAAATTTATCTTCCATGTGTTTGTAAAAGATACGTATTGTTTAAATTGGATACTGAAGAGATGGGATTAATATGTAAACCCTCATAAGGCTTTTTCCCTTTAAGAAGTTAGAAACTATTGGGCAATAGGACAGTTTTTCAAGGAAATGTTCTCAAGTGCAATATGGCCTTTGCCTTTCTCTTGCTTCTCAGTGTGTGTGTGTCTTTTTATTTTTCTTTCAGCTCTGGCTGATGTGCACGGTGATAGTGGAGACTCTGGGCTTGCTGTCCCTGAAAGTCCTGTGATCTCCGAACATAAGCCTGACCAGGAAATAACATTGAACTTACAGGAAGATCACAAAGTAGAACTTGATGTCCTGAAAGCAAGTGTTGACTTAGCGGAAGAAAAGCCTCCTGTTTCTGACGATCCTCCTGATCCTCAAGAAATTCATGTAAAAAATTAATTTTTTACTTTGTTGTTAGTTTTGGTTTAGTTAGGTTTCAAATCATAGTTTAAAACTAATGTATTCATTTATTTGACTGTTGTATAAAAACCTCTTTTTAATGTGCGTTAGAAAAAAGCATGTAAATATTTTGTGGATTATAAAAGAACACATCCTTTAAGTGAGAAATTGTTTTTCGTGACCACCAAAAAGCTATGTTAAAGAAGTCAGAATTCTAACAGTTTAATTTTTACTTAGTATATGGTTCAAATGAAAGTTCTTTTAGCCATGAGAAAACAGATACTGGCTACTCCAGAGAAAAGAATGACAACTAAACTATTCAGAGCATTTGAAAATAACTGAATACAGTTAGATAGGATTGTTCCCCCATGCATACTTGTAGGAGAGTGCTCATTAGCTGGCCGGGGTTTAACTTCTATAACACAAGAAAGGATTTCTTTTCTGTCTTTCTTTCTTTCCTTTCTTTTTTTTTTTTGTACTTAATATGAATTATGGTTTCTAAAAATTCCACCATGTTTCTTTTAATATCAACAGGCAATTTTATATGATAAATGAATGTAAGATTAAAAAAAAAACACTTCTAATTTATAGAAATGTGATTGTATAGTATTTGGGAAGTTTCTTAAATCATAAAAGTGTCATGGTTGTCCATATTCATTTTCATGAGTATTCTCACTGTAAAATAGATGGATAAAGTCCCCTTACTTCAGCCGGGAAGCTAATAAAAATTGTGGGTGTGGTATGAGTGAGAATCCTCATTTCTGGGTATTTCCAGTCTTCATCTCACTGAATGTGTGGGGAGTGGGAAAATGTCATTGTCTAGGTGGGTGGTAATGTTCTACCTTCTTGGTCAGGAGATCTCTCTGTTACTTTCTACCTCCTCCTTTTTCTCCCCCTCCCTTACCAAAAGGTAAATGCAAGGACCATTCCTTCTTCCACCAAACCCTTGCAGGAGAGGTACTGAACTTGAAAGCCTTAGGAATTTCATGGTTTATGCAGCCCCAGCAAAGGGAAGAGGATTGAGTCTAGCCCAAGGGAGCTTATGTAGGTGAATTCTTCTTCAACCTTATGGGGATCATGCTGTTTAGAAAAAGTGTGGTTAGTTAGGGATTTTGGGGATTACCATTAAAACACAATTTGGGGGTTGTGTCTTTTTCTCCAGTTAATGTTTTTTTTTCGGGTGAGAACAGAATAAGTCCTTAAATTAGCATCATAGTAATTTTCAAGGTTTTGTAAAGACTGTCTTTTTTAGCTAAGGAAATGCGGGATTTCTATTTTAATTCCATTCAGAATCTCAAAATCTTTTTCTGTCTAGTTATTTTGATCAAGTAATAATCTCTGATTGCTTAAATGGATACTTTTATAAGCCCATAAGTATATGCCATATCAAACGTAGTTTATGGTTAACAATTCATATACCAAGGGTGAGATGATTATTAAAAAACTGTATGCTTTAGGCTAAAATAAATGTACACATTAAAATTCTTTAACCAGTCTCTTATCTTTAATTCATTGTAGGTGACTGAACATGAAAAGCTCGGAGTTCAAGATTCAGAACACGAGGCTAGGAGTCTTTCCTTTAATGAGTTGTATCCCTCAGGGACTCTTAAGCTCCAATATAATTTTGATACCATTGAGCAACAATTTTGTGACTTACCTGATAACAAAGACTCTGCTGAGTGTGACGTTGCCGAAGTAGACGGGGAACTTTTTGGGGCTCAGAGCAACTTTACCTTGATATTGGAAGGTGAAGAAGGAGAATTAGAGACGGGTGATTCTGCAGCATCTAATGTGTTAGCTCCAGCGGCAAACACAGTAGCTGAGGAAAAACATGTATGCAGTGAGGAAAATGGTGGACACGACGCAGAGTTGCCAACGGTCCTGACTAGTGATCAGGAGTCCCAGAAGGTAGAGACCTTACCATATGTGCCTGAACCAATTAAAGTAGCAATCGCAGAAAATTTACTAGATATAATTAAAGACACAAGAAGTAAAGAAATTACTTCAGATACAGTGGAACAGCAGTCCATTCACGAAAACATACCTTTAATAAGCCAGCAGGTCACCAAGGTAGTCAAATCTACGTTGAAGACTGTTCAGGAAACGAGTACAGTGACTATAAATGTGAGCCAGCTTGATGACACGATTTCCTCCAGAACTCGCAGGAGAGGACATGTCCAATCAGCACAACAGGAAGAGTCCGTAGCTCTTGCTACTCCTGACAGGCTGGGCCTTTTGGACAGGAGGACTCGGAAAAGGAAAGAAATTTCTGGGGCTTTTGAAGGTGCCTGTTCTGATGTCAAAGTTATATCTCAGAACCTGCAAATACCTCAAAATTCTGTGACTCCTAGGAGAGGACGGAAAAGGACAGACGATAATCAGGACATGTTAGAAAGTGATCGTCCTATGGAACAGGACTTAGAGGTTACTCCAGATAGCAGACTAAGGAGGGTAAAACCCTCTCAGCTGTTGGAACCGGCTGCTGGAAAAACTAAGCTTTCGTCTGTTACAAAAAAGACTCCTAAAGGAATTAAAAAACCTGTGGAGTACCCGGAAAGTGTTGAAATGGTAGATCTAGATCTGAAAGTTAGTAAAGTAGCACGTCCCAGTGGAAGTACCCGAAAATTGAGAAGTGCCACTCTAGAAGCTTCTAAAAAGACAGGACATAAGCCAGGTGGAGAAACTAAGCTTTCGTCTGTTACCAAGAAGACTCCTAAAGGAATTAAAAAATCTGTAGACTATCCGGAAAGTGTTGAAATGATAGATCTAGATCTAAAAGTTAATAAAGTAGCACGTTCCAGTGGAAGTACCCGAAAACTGAGAAGTGCTAATCTAGAAGCTGCTGAAAGTAGAGGACATAAACCAGATGGAAAGCCCATGGACCAGCCACCACCTGTCAAGCCTGACAAAAGTCCTAAAAAGAGGGAAAGTAGCACACTCGATGTCACAGAAGACTCCAAACTGGATTCATCACAGCTGAGTCTTCAGGCAGAGTTTGGTAGACCTAGGAAACGTGGTAGACCGAGAAAAGTTAATCCATCTGAAGATGTCAGATCCAAGGCTGCCAAGGAAGTGGAAAGTCCCAAGAGGAGGTCAGGAACTTTCAGCAGCCAGAGGAGGTCGACAAGAAAGACCCCAGCCAAAAGAAAGACTGATGTTGCAAAAACAGCCTTAGAAAAATCCGCTTTAGTGCCAAATGAACTTGCTGTGGTGACTGGCTCTAAGAAAAAGCTTACAAAAAGGACTGAAGATTCAAGCCAAACATGTGCATTACGTCCGGTATCAGAAAAATACACTGATGAAGAAATGACAGCTCTGGAAACTGACCACCCGGAAGAGAGGGGGCTTGCCCCAGCCACACCGCCAAAATCGTCCCGCAGCACAAGGACTCGATCTAGCAAGGCCATCTCGTTTCCCGACCTCTCTGAACCAAAAAATGAGTTTGTGTTCTCTACTCCCGTGTCAAAGGTTCCAAGGAAAGAGAAAGGTACGTTTACTTATATTCAAAGCACAGTTTTCATCTTGCTCAGTCTTCAGCTTAAAATTCTGTTGTGTAAAGCACAATTCGATTTGATTTAAGACCATAATTATTTCTCCTAAAAATGATTAGTAGTTCCAGGAAATTCCTCTCCCCTTCCAAAAAAGAAAACACACTTTATCTTTAAATAGTAAAATTTAAAGATTTTATATTTCAAAGTTTAGATTCAGGAATTTTCTGTTTCACTGTGACTCTTCCTGTAATTCACTTGACACAGGTTTAATCTTCTAGAATAGTACCATTTCTCTTCATTTTGCCCTGACATAAGTGACTTAATTTCTCCTCAAATAGAATCAGCATTTTTAATCTAAGTGCTGCTGTGTTTGGCTCATGTCCCAGAAGATATCCGCAACCTCAAATTGTTTTGAAAGGAAGGAGCAGTAGAATTTTATTGATTAGGATACAGAAATTATTTCAGTACCTCCTCCCTGTTGCCCATAAATTGGCATGGCTGCACATCCAGCCTCCCTCATTGCCCCTGATGAGTTCACGACTGTATTGTTGGGTTAGTATAGCTCATACCTTCCCAGTGGGGGTGACGTGTCTCCCCAGAGGATGAAAATATCTTCGTCTTTATCTGTGCTATTAGGATTTGGAGGGGGGATGTTTCAGTGAAGCAGCCAATTAAGAGAAAGGGTCTAAAAGGTGATGATGAAGGAAATGTTGAGACACTGGTGTAGCTGAACAGAACCTGTTAGGGTCGTTCTTGGCAAATGTGATAAAAATGGTTAGGTGAGCAAAATGTAGTTGTTCACTTAAGGTTGAAGATCTGAATTTCAGCAAAGCAGCTCAGGGACTCGTTAAGTAAAGTAGGTGACTTTGTTGTATTTATTTAACCTTTCAGAACTGTTGCGTGTACTTTTAAAAGCATTAGTGAACATCCTGTAGAGTTAGTTGCCTTATGACTTGAGGAAGGCCACGTGAAAGATAAGCCATTTAGAAATCTGCAAACTGAAAATTTTCTATATTCAGCATTCACTCTGCAAACACTGTTTAAACGTGTTGGCTTATGCAGTCATTTATTTTAGTTACATAGTCTGAGCCCAGGAAGGGGCCCTTTGCCATCAGATTGATCGTTTGTTTTACAAAATAACTTGTAACAGTTGCAGGAGGTCTGTCTCCCACCCCCAACCCCCAGTTTTTAAAAATAGATTTTTGATTTTGTGGTACTGTAGGATTCAGTTTTTTACAGTTTGAGGAAAGGGAGGTCACGCCCATACTTTCCTTGGAGCAAGATGCAGTGACCGGAGTGTGTCGGATTTTAGCTCACTTGACTAAGCTGCTAGATCAGATAAATTGGAAATGCTGCAGCACGGGTAGCAGGTCATTAACACAATTCTTTTACACTTTCCTTGTGACTTAGAAAAGTGTAGCAAATACCCAAATTGTGTGGTATTTTGGCAAATGTCTCAGTAATTCTGATCTTCGTCATCTTTACATTCTTGTCACCTGTATACCCACGAACTACAGCTTGTTTCTGTAATAAAATACACGCCTGCCATAGAAAATTAGAAATTCAGTGTATTATCCTCTCGTTATCTGAAGGACCGATAACCAGAGTTCACATTTTCTTCCAGCTGTGTGTCTAGAGACATATTCTGCTTCTTCTTCCCCCTCGCTTCATGAGCATTTTCAGATCCTCTCAAATACCTTTTGGAACTGGGGGTGGGTGTTGGTGATTTTGTGTGTCTCATGGCTTCCCCCGCCCGATAGGCTTCCCGGCTGGCACCTCCTCTCGCCGATGGGCCACACATGCTTGTACCTTCTCCTGTTATGTATTTGAACCATTGTCAGATTCTCTAGTGTTAAAAACAGGCACCTTCTCGCGTTAGAAGTGGTGAGAAATTGGGGACTGAGATCTCTCATTTCTGCCACTCAGCTGGGCAGCCAGTCCTCTCACTTTTCCGAATATGGCTTTCTCACTTTGACAACGAAGGGGACAGTACCTGCCCCGCAGCCTTCTGACAAGGCAGTCACCATCACCAGCGTCCAGGGCCTCCTTGCTTCTCTTGCCTTCCGGCTAGAGTTCCCTCTCTCCTCCTCTGCCCATTCATGTTGTCTTCTTAAAGCTCTTTAGGAAGGGCAGGAAGCACAGAGGAGCAGGCACAGAAATAATACCATATGACCCGAAGGCAGTCAGAGAGACAGCCGTCTTAGAATTTAGTTAGAGGCATTTTGCTGGTCAGAAAAATGTGAAGCTTGACATCTCCGTGGATTCTGTCTAATTTCTGTTACTCAGCAGCAAGTGTTTAAGAAGGGCCTGCCGTGGGCCTGAGGCTGAACTGGGGTAGACGTTCGTCAGGTGATTTGATTCCCGCTCCAGCGCAGTGAAGTGTGGCTACTGTTCTTCCTTCCTTCCACAGTGAGGGGAGGTTGAAGTTCAGGGAGACTGAGCCCCCACACCACCCAGGCTGCGAGGCGGTGTCCCGGAGCCCACCTGCTGCCTGCTCAGAGCGTTGACCAGTACGTTCCTGGCTTTAAAGCCGACGCTTTGGGACACCTTACGCCTTCGGTAGCGCTGGCATCAAAACTTCCCCTCAGGAGACATAGAGAGGTGGGTGAGGAATGAATATGCCAAGAAGTATCATAAAGTCTTGTTTGGCTTAGTAGAAGCACGTGGAAGAATTGGGGGAGACCGAACATTTTTGCACACGATAGCGGGTGTTCATATTTCCTTACTTAATCCTTTGAATTGTAGGGGGAGATGTAGGGGAAGAACATGAGCTGGTCTTTGAAAAGCCAGGGCAGTTGTTGCTCCAGGTAGCCTAGAAAGAGAAAAACAGCATGTTTTCATTTCCTGGAAAGACCCTAGATAGGTTTCTTTTTAACGAAAGGGGAAGGTCACCACCAGCACCCCCACTGTTGCCAGCTCTGCCCCTAGCCCTCTGGCAGCAGAGAGAACTCTGATTTCTGACCTCACCTCAGTTTTTTCTTAACAATCATGTGCTTTAAAAGCAGAATTTGATGTCTTACAGAAGTCTTGACTGTCCAGGTGGGTGAAATAATGTTGAACTAGACTTAGAGAATTTTATTTCAGGACTGTAAATTCTTGAAATAGTAAGCAGCTACTGTGGGCCACCCACGCTGTTTGATCCTCTCATCTTCACGATGACTTGATAGGTTCTGTTATTAATCCCATTTTATAGAAACTGAGGCACAGAGGGGTTTAACTCATTTGCCAAATGCAGGAGCTGGGATTTAACCGGTGGCAGACGGCTTCAGCGGCTGCTTCCATAAGCAATGGCTACTGGCCATGAATACGGAGACCCTGTGGTGAAAACAAAATCTGAGATACAGTCTGTGATGTCTGTGATGTTTTTAATTACGTATTTTGAACCAGTTCTTAATTAAACCATTTTTATTTATCTGTGGCATTTCTTCCTATCAGCCTGTTCTTCCACATTCATTACTTTCTCCCTTTATGGTGGGGACTTTTCTGTTGTTGCTTTGACCTGAACAGCTAGCTCAGAATGAGCTGGAAGGAAAGAACTTTTGAGTCTTCTTTGAAGATAAAATTACTTTTGTAAATGAAAACGTCGTCTCTGGAATAGGAAGGTTTACAAAGCAATCTAGCTCAGCTTATGTACAAGATTATCGCTTCTCGGCCTTTTGGCTAAGATCAAGTGTAGCTTATGTACAAGATTGACGCTTCCCTCTCTGAGAACATTTGAGGAGCAGTAAAGATTAGAATTAGTGGAATGATACAGTTCTGAGCTTTTTAGGTCTTATTTTTCTGTTGTAGTGTTACTTAGTTTGAGGCGTTAGATGTTCCTGAACTTGGGGTTTGCCCTGTCGTTCCTCTCCTCCTGGTGCGGCCGCCATGCTCAGATGCTCGTGTCTTCCAGGTTGTCCTCCCGATATGCGATGTGCGTCGTTTGTTCCAAGCTTTAAAAAAACACAGATACTGGTACATATATAGATGGACATGGATACAGTGTGTTTTTTCTCCCTGCCTTGCTTTAGGGAAAAAAATAGAGGCTCCGGCACAGCTGCAAGAATTAGTTTCAGATTTACCTTCTCGGTTTGTCTTCTCACCTCCTGCGTTACGGACCAGGCGGAAAACCACATCTAACACATCCAGAGCTGGAGATGAACTGGTAAGAAATGCATTGTATTCGTATGCTTATTTAAACATGCTCTCTACTTGTTTAGGCAGTGTTTCCTAAATAAACCTCATTTATACTGAAAGCCCCAGATCACCTTGTCTGCACTTGGGGGGGCCCTTCCCTTGGACACAGTATGTCACCGATAGTGTGTTCCTGGCAGCTATGGTTTAGATGACCCACTAGGGGAAAGGCTTTTAGCTTTTAGGGTCTCATCAGAATGATCTGGATGTGTTTCTCTAGATTAGAGGTCCCTGAACCCCCGGGGTGTCTTGCACAGTCACACTTGGAGAGAGAGTGCTTCAGAGTTGACTGTATCACCTGATTGCACATAACCCTAAAATCAAAGCAGTTCCGGGATTGAGAGGGAGACAGACCCTTGTTGTAACAACATTAATTCATAAGGATTTTTTGAACTATCTGCTATGAGCCAGTTACTATTCAAGGACAAAGACTGACAGAGAAATCACTTGGGCAGATTCCTGGTCTTTTAGGAGTTCAGTTTAATTGAAGAGGCTAAAACACACATAATTACTTCACGGTATGTTAAGAATCATTTATGCCCAAATAACCCTGTAGACGGAAGGTAAAGCAAACAGGCACCACTGGAAGAGAACCGTGGATCACAGAGGCACAGAGGCCTGGCAGTGCTTGGGGGCGGGGGGCTGCTTACAAATGGGTGAACGGCCATGGGCACGTTAAAGGAAATACGAAATGAATTCTAGGAAGGAAAACTAGTCTCTGGTGGCCAGTTCCTTTACAAGACGACGAGAGCCTGGATGTGGGCTGAGGCAGTGGGAACAGGAGCTCAGCAGACAAGGACACGTTCCACGTGAAACATGCGTGCCTTGGAGATGAACTGGAAGAGTGGCCCTAGATGACCAGAGTTCCTACTAAAGATAAAAGGGGTCCATTTGGGACTTGGGGCGTCTGAATTCAGTAGCCCTCTTTGGCCATATTCCTTGATGCAGGATAGAACTAATTCAACTTGGATTTCAAGTATTTACTTATGATTTAGCTTCTAAAATTTTTAACCCCTAGAAAGATAATGCTCCATCAGTAGAAACTATGGGAAGGCCAAAAGTGAAAACAACCAGGACGGCAAAGACAAAACAGGCAAGCAGGTATGAACTTCTTTATGCTGTAATTTTTATCCATTTTGTTTTGTAGATTAGATTTGAGAAGAGTCATAACTTAGAGAAGTGAAGCTCTTCAGGAAAGGGTCATTCTTAGGGGCATTGTGCGCACTGGCTCGTGGCGATGGCTGGGTCTCCCCACACAGCAGTGAAAGCCAATCTGTCCTTTTTAAAGAAGGGTCACGGGGGTCTTGTTTCTGGCAGTGGGAGGTTTCACCCTTTCCTTAGTTAAGGTAGATAACTATTAATAAAAATAATTATAAACTTAAAAATCTTGTACTTATTTTACTAGTAGCAATAAAACTTCCATTCATGAGGACGTTTGTCCAGGTATATTGGCGCTTAGGCATGGTTGAATTTTATAAAAGTACAAAGTAAATCCATTTGATCTTCCTTTAAAAATGGGCATCATGAGACTTTGGACCATAACTCATAACATCGTTTACACATCGTTTCGCTTTATATATATATATACACATATATATATATAAACGTTCATACGACGGAGGTATACCCGTCCTTGCTGATTGCTGCCATGGGAGCGTTGCTGTTTCTCACCTCATGGGCCTGCTGGGCTCTCAGCCCACCGACATCGCGTGAAGCCCTTATGCAGCCTCCAGGTACCCTGTGTGACCGAAAGCTTCGCTTCGCTTCTCAAATCAAAGCACCCGGAAAGGGTACTGCTCCTACAGGCTTTTTTCCCCCCAAGGTAATTGGGAAGTGGATTCTAGTTGATATTATAATGTATGTATTCTTACTTGAATTGTGTTTTGTTTTCAGAAGCAAAGAAGAAGATAATTGGTCACCTCCTGCCGTGAAAATCCGGCTGATTTCTCCTTTGGCGAGCCCGGCTGATGGAGTCCGGAGCAAGCCTGGACGAGCGACAGCAGTGGCAGGAAGAGCTCCGGGAAGGAGCAGGAAGAAACTGTCCTCCTTTCCAAAGCAAGTTTTACGCAGAAAAATGCTATAATTTTTTTTCAAGTTTTTAATGAACACCAGTTTGTAAAATCATCAGAATTGTGTGGATTATTAAAAATCACCTAATTTGGAAGAAAACAATTTGTATAAATTACTGTAGATTTTTGTAAACAGAAGGTCTTCAATAAGTACAATAACTCCGTAAGGAGTGTGATTCTTTTAGTCCGGGCAGTTTTTCTATTTTATATTAAGACTTCATACATTTATATAATATGTAAATATGGCTTCTTACTGGAATGTTAAATAAAGTGTATACTTCACAGTAGTTTGTGTCTGTTAGATTTTTGAGAGGGGATTTCTGTTTTAATAATGATTTTATAATGCTAGTAGGTATTGGTCCCATTTTCTTTCGCTACAGTTAAAAGGTATTAGACCAGCCTTAAAACAAAGATGATTGAAGAACTGTTGATTTTTTTTTAAAGTTGCTATTTTATAATTTATGCACTTTGCTCCTATGATTGAGATTTCTAATCATAAAATGTATATATATATTTTTTTGCCTGTTACTATGTTGAAATCGAATTATGGGCATGTAATTTTGCCGCTTTTTGTAGTTTAACAAATTTTGTATATTCTACCTCAAATTTGTCATTTTCCAAGTAATGCATTGGTTAAATACAATGTTGGCATTTCTTGTTCAGCAAGCTTAAAGGCTTTTTACCTTTAAAGTCTCTTCATTCTTTAGAGACTAATCATCCAGGTTAGACTGATCGGTTCACTGCTCACTAGCCTCCTGGAAAGGTTTGAGAAGAAAGGGAAATGTCAAACAAAACTGTTTCATGGCTGCTCAATACACCTCGTGTGTGCCTAGTATCGACAGAATAAGTCTGAACAAATTTTATAATATTCTTGCTGTGAAGGCGCTTGCTGTAAAATCACAGAAATCCCTTAATAATATTCAGGTTTGAAGACTGACTCATTTTCATAGGACGTCAGGCACAGACTCTTGAGGACGGGGAATGAGTGTGAGGTGGGAAGGGAAAAGAAACAAGACACTGTTGTCTGCAGTACAACTATGTGCAGTTCAGTGGGAACGCTTGATGTAGCCTGTGAAACTCATCAATAAGTGAGTGCTGTAAAATAATTTATAACAGGTCATGGAGAGCGTGTAATGAATGGACCATTAATAATTGATTGTCTAGAAACAAACTGCTTGTGTTGGCTAAGCTTGTAATGTGTTAGTGTGAAGCAGAAGCACTGTGCTTTCCACCTTATTTTTCTACTAAATAAATACCACGGGAGATGGGAAATGATGACAGCGCCTCTGCCAAGTACTGATGGTGTGCGAGTAGCGGTGCGCGTGAGGCCTTTCAGTCAGGTTAGTGACGGAGGCGATGCTGCCTGGTTGAAACTCGAACTAGGACTTGCATTTTATTCCTTTTGCTAATGATCGTTATCAAACATGTATTCAAGCTGCTTGTCATTGATGGAATATTAAACTTCTTTAAATGAACTTGTTAAATGAGTAATTTAACGATCTCTACGTAATTAGTAAACACGTAACCTCATTCCTTTGCGCAAGTAGCTCAATAAAAAAATTGATGAAACGTACTGTCAAGTTAATAATTCTTTAAACCAATGCGGGTTGGTGAATATAGATACATGCTGTTTTTAATAAATGTCCTTTGCCCCCCAGCTGCTCATTCAGCTGTGTTGCTACAACACTGTAGGATAAAATAGAGGTGATACTCATTCTGGGACCCTGTAGCAATCTCTGATTATCAAGGCATTAGTTACAAATTTTAAGATAATTCTGAACAATTGGCCCATTCAGTGGACTTTTGACTGCTTGAATCAAACGCGGTACTAGAGAAATGGGATACAAAACAGCTTGCTATCTCATTATGTAAGTGAGTAATTGGTGGCAGAACGCACCACAGTGGTAAGGCAAACAGCCCCCAGAGACTGATCAGGTCTCATTCTACCTGGCTCGGTCATGAAGACTGGAGATGGAGGCATTTCAGATGACCCAAGGGCCTAGTAAGATTCGGACAAGGATATGCTAGAATGATGAGCAAGGGCATATTGGACAATAGTCCTGAATGGCATCCAATGAGTGTGATGGAGACCATATATGAGGTCTTCCTTCCCATTTGGACCTTGTTCAACCTGACGCTCTTCTCTCTGGTCCATCAGTATTCAAGATTGTTTTGCACATTTTCAGTTGGTGTCCATGATTTCCTGACCCCTAGCATTCATCTGTATCCCAGAAAATACTTCAGCAACCAGGTGACATATCATTGGATAGCGCTTTATGTGAATAACTGGACAACTTCAAGTGTAGCGGCTCATGGGGGCTTCTAAAGGGGCATGGCTTTTCAGCAACCTGGTAATAAAAATGTCAAAGAATTGTGAGGAGCAATTTAATGTTTTAACCAAGAAAAAGGAAATAAAACTCTTATAACCTAATCCGTCAATACACTATAAAGTAATTATTCCAGGGTATTTTTCGCTGGCCTTTAATACTGCTAGAGTAGCTACAAATTTTAAACAGTAAGGAGGTAGAAAGTAGGCGCTAAGTTAATTACATGGCTTTTAGGACCCCTCATCAAAAAGATTGCATTTGATCGCATTCTACCACCACCATTGGCTAGCTTATACTAGAACAGTAGCAAGGAGGAGAGCGGACCAACTCAAGAGGTGACTTCAGGGTGAACGGTTATGGGGCATGCCTGGACAACTGGAGCCTGTCTGGGTGACCTGGGCTCTAATTCTCTGACTTCCGGTCTTAATCCTTGTGGTGGGGTCGGAGAACCAGCTTGGTGAGACTGTGTTAGAAGAGGTAGCACTTTCTCAGGAACCTTTGAAGTCAGGTGAACTTGGATTCGAGACCTGACTTTCTCACTCACCCACTGTGTGACCTTGAAGGTTTTAAGCTCTCTCAGCCTTGGTTTCCTTCTGTGCAAAATGGCGATGATACTTCACAAGCTTATATTTCAAAAACTAGATGAAATAATGTGTAAATCAACACAATGCCTGACGAATAAGCAGCGTTGTTATTAGCCACTATAATTTTCTCTTATTTGAGAGAGAGACCAAGACCATATGTTGGGGGGGGTGGGTGAGAGGGAGGGGCAGAGAGAGTCAAGCGGACTGTGCACTGAGCGCTGAGCTCAGTCTTACAACACCAAGATCACGACCGGAGCCAAAACCGAGAGTTTGGATGCCCAACCGAATGAGCCACCCAGGTGCCCCTGCTATAATTTTTTTATAAACATTTTCATTGAGATAGTTCACCTACTATAAGGTTCCCTTGCTTAAAGTCTACAATTCAGTGATTTTTTAATACATTCACAGATAGGTACAACTGTCACCAGTTTCAGAACTAAAATTTTTATGACCTCAAGAATCTGTGCCATTTAGCTCTATCATCCTTATCCCTCTAGTTCTAAGCAACCCTTAATCTAACTTCAGTCTATTATTTCCTTCTTCTGTACAAGTCATGTGAATGGGATTAGTCTTGTGACTGGCTTCTTCAATTTAGCATTTTTCCAGGTCCATCCTTGTTGTAGCATACACCAAAATTCCATTTCTTTGTGAATGGTTACTATAGCATTGTATGGATATACACATTTTGTTTAATCCATTCCTCAGTGGATGTTTGAGTCGTGCTGGCTTTGTCCACAGCCTTATCCACAGGATATAATGCTGCTATAGACACTCGCGTGTAAGTTTCTGTGTGGACATACGGTTTTATTTCTCTTGGTTTACGCCCAGGCTGAGACCTACAGTAACTAGTTTAATCGTTGGAGGAACTGACTTCCAAAGCCAGCTGTACCGTCTTCAGCGCCCCCCAGCCAGTGTACGAGGGTTCCACTTTCTCCAATCCAATCCAGTTACCTGACTTTACTATAGCCGTTCTGGGTGTGACGTGGTGCCTTGTGGTTTTGAACTGCAGTTCCCTGATGCCTAAGGACGTCATGTATCTTTTTTCATATTATTGTCCATGAATGTATCCTCCTTAAATGTCTATTCAGATCTCTTACTCATTTTTAAATTGGATTATCTTTTTACATTGAGTTCTTTTGGATACAATTCCTTATTAGATGTATGATTTGCAAATTTTCTCTCATTCTATGGGCTGTCTTTTCACTTTCTTCATGGTGTCCTTTGAAGAACGAACGTTTTTAATTTTGATGAAGCCTTTTTTTTTTTGAACTCATGCTTTTGGTGTTCTGAGACTTCTTTGCCCAATCCAAGGTCAGGGATGTCTACTCCTGTGTGTTCTCGTGTACTAATAGCTCTTACATTTAGGTCTTTGGTCCGTTTTGTGTTATTTTTTGCATATGGTATGAGGCAAGGGTCCAAGTTCATTGTTTCTGCATGTAGCTATCAAGTTTTTCCAGGACCGCTTCTTGCAAAGGCTATTTATTCCCCATTTTGACAGCCTTGATGAAAATCAGTTGGCCACGGAGGCCTGGGATGAGTTCTAGACTCTCCATTTCATTACATACATCTGTATGTCTATCATTGTGCCCATATCACGCTGCCTTGGTCACTGTTTGGTTTGCACTAAGTTGTGAGATTGGGAATTGGGAATCCTACTTTGTTCTTTTCAAAATGGTTTTGGCTATTCTGGGTGCCTTCCAGTTCCATGGAAATTTTACCATCAGCTTGTCAATTTCTACAGAGAATCAGGATTCTGATAGAGATTTCACTGAATTTGTACATCAGTTTGGTGAGTGTTACCATGGTAACAATGCTGTCTTCTGATCTATGAATGTGGGGTGTTTTCCAATTTTTAGATCATCTTTAGTTTCATTCAACAATGTTTTGTAGTATTCAGAAGATCTGTTTTGTACTCCTTTTGTTAACTATTCCTGAGTATTTTGTTCCTTTTGATACTATCAGAAATGGAATTTTCCATTTCATTTTCAGATTGTTCCTTTCAAGTGTATATAGTTGTTTTTGTGTATTGATCTTGTATTTTACAACCTTACTGAACTAATTTATCAGTTCTAATAGTTTTTTTAGTGAATTCCTTAGGATTTTCTATATACTAGATCATGTCATCTGCAAAGAGATCATTTTATTTCTTCCTTTCCTATCTAGATGACTTTTATTTCTTTTTTCCTACCTACTTGTCCTGGCTAGACCCTCCAATACAATACTGAATAGAAGGGTTCAGAGTAGAAATCTTTAGGATATTAATTATGGGTTTTTCGTAGATGCCCTTTATCTGAAGAAGTTCCATTCTATTTCTTAATTTCTTACGTGTTCTTATCATGAAAAGGTGTTGGATTTTGTTAAATGCATTTTCTACATCTATTGAGATGATACGTGATTTTGCTTTTCATTCTATTTGATATATTACATGAAGTCATTATTTTAAAGTATACCTGAGATTTATTTTAATCGAGTATAGTAAGCTGATAGACACAGAAACAACTGCCTTAAAATTTCCAAGAGAATGGAGCATGCCACACAGAGCCCCATGGGGAAGTATCAACGTCAGTCAGAAGTCAGGAGGAGCACAGCCCACAGCCTTACTTTGGTTTCTGCAGGAAGGAATGGGCAAGGCATAGTGGGTGAGTTTGAGCACTTTTAGGATTATATAGTTTGAGTGATTCCAGGGCTCTGGGCTAGAGAGGTGGTCTCTAGTTGTCAGGTACCTGGCCCTGGGGTGATTTTGGGCAGGGGAAATATTGGCTTGGTGTGTGAGAGTTAAGTAAAGGAGGTCCCTGGGAGATGGACTTGGGATATGGACTGGGTTGGTTGGTTTACATGAAAGGCAAGTTGTTTACTATCTCTAGGGGTTCATTAGCCCTGGAGGGACAGTCTCTCTAGGCCCCAGGATGTCAATGCATTATCAAATACAGAAAATAGAAAACATGATTAATACAATCATTTTCAGACGTTAAACCAACCTTACATCCTTGGGACAAATCCCATTCGGTCAGGGTGGGTAATTCTTTTTACATGTTGCTGGATTTGGTTTGCTAATAATTTATTGAGGATTCTTGCATCCATATTCATAAGAGATATTGGTCTGCATTTCCATTTTCTTGTGACGTCTTTGTCTGGATTTGGCATCAGGGTAACACTGCCTTCATCAAAGCAGGTTTGAGTAGTCCCTCTTCTGTTTTTTGGCAGAGTTTATGAAGAATTGGTATTCTTTAAATTTTAGGTAGAATCAGCATTCAAACCAAACCAAACCCTCTAGGCTTTTTCTTTTCTTTTTTTTTATCTACTTCAATCTCTTCACTTGTTATAGGTCTATTCAGCTTGTCTATTTCTTGAGTCAGTTTCAGGAGTTCTGTATCTAAGACTTTGCCTATTTAATCTAAATTATCTAATTTATTGGTACCCAACTGTCCATCATCTCCATTATAATCCTTCTATCTCTCTAATCATGGTCCCTGGGTCCGGGGGCAGGGACAGTGCAAGCCGCTTCCTGTTTTAGAAGCCCAGCACTTGGTGAGTGTGGAAGGGCAGCCTGAGATCCTCTCAGCTTATCTGCCCTGGCATGGACACCCCCCCAGGGGCTGGAGCAAGCACAGCCAGCAGCCTAGTATTCTCAGCGGGATGCACCCAAAGTAGAGAGAGCCTCCACGGCATGCGTGGACACTGGGTAAAAGGAATCCCACCTCTCACCAAGTCTCTCCCAGGAGATGAAGGTAGGATGTGAAATGCTGGAATCTGGGGAGAGAGGCAGCCTTGTGGTGTTGGCTGCAGCAGTCTGGAGTAGAGTCTCCACCTGGCTGGGCAGGAGAGAGGAAGGGAATGGTCTTGCTTCAAATACCAGACTCGACTTTCTAAACAACTGTGGTACTTTTGCTTGAAGAGATGTTTTTTGTCATTGGCTGTCTGCCCAGAGGACCTTTTCCAGAGTCCTGAAATGGTTGGTTGTTTTTCCATTTTCATTTTTTTCATGAATAATTTTCACCAGTTCCACTGGGGAGCGAAACAGGAAAGTTCTCTGTTGCTATAGTTACTGCTATTAGCATAGCTGGGTGTTAGGCTATTCTCAGAAAACTAACATTGCTAGAGACAAGCCTTTCAACAATTCTGAGGGGGATAAGAGCCGCTGCTTGTCATAACAGCTGCTAAGAATAGCAGAGAACAAAATGAATAAATGGTAAGTGCCCGACTTAATTTTTTATGAGGTATGTCTCAAGACTTGCAAAATAACTTGGATGACACAGGAAAACTACAATGATTAACTCTGAATTTGTAATTTGACTATAGAGAGAGAAGACTTCTGGGAGCAAATGTGTGATTTCGATGCATTCCAGGACCACCACAACCATACAAGACCCTAAGAATCCAGAACATAGGAAGACATTTACTTTTGACCTGGCATATTGGTCCCACGATGGATTTCAAAAGGATCAAGATGGTGTGTTTATTTCAGCTGATCCTAGCAGTCAATTTGCAAGCCAGGTAAATTGCTTTAAAACACAACTTGAAAGGAAAGGTTTTTTGTTTTTTTTTTAAATGAAGTGTTAACAGTAGAACAGTACAATTTTTTAATGCAAGCATGCTATGATATATACTTCCATTTGAGAGTTTGATTTTAAATGTATTCCTTTTTCATGTTAAACATAAGGTCCCAAAGTACAGCTATTGCCTAAATAATTTTTAGGAACTCAAATCAACTGATTTGCCAATATACTGCCATATTTTGAAAAAGAAGTGTCAGTCAAATCGATTATATTTTGCCTCTCTGAAATAAGCAAAATTTGTGACGCACACAGCCTTTGAGAACTCTTGTTTTATCAAGGATTTATCACGTGCCAAGCATTATTCCATCTTAAAGTTGCCCACAACTTGGTATGGGGGGACAGGCAAGTAAGTGCATTCAGAAATGTTCCATGTTCTGGGATAAGAATACACGAAATGATGAAGTACAGTGGAGAGAAGGTCGTTGCAATCTGGACAAAGCTCATTAAGTTTCTTGGATCTGGGTGTGTATAGTTTCAATAAAATTTGGAAAAATTTCAATCATCATTTCTTCAAATATCTTTTGCCCCTTCCCCATCTTATTCCCTCTGTGATTCCAACCGAGCTTGTCCCACAGGTCACTGAGGTTCTGTTCATTTCCCCCAAAACTTTTCTCTCTATTCTTCTTGTCTGCCTATTTGTCTTCCAAACTCAGCTGAAAACTTACAGCTTTTATTAAACCACTCCTAAAAATACCCCCTGTCAAATAGTTCTGACTTCACAAACTCACTAAAAGGATCTCACGGACCCTGGAATGCATTTTGAGAACCACCGTCCCAGAGTAATCAATTTAAAAAATCAAACAAAATTGTAACTCATCAGTCAATTGTGGGGAAATGGGATTAGAAAGCACTCAATCCAAAGCACAGCAGGAAAAGACGGGAAAAGTAAAAAGGAGACGGGAGAAGTAGAATACAAATAGTGAGCTGGTAAATTTCATGTCAGCCACGTCAGTTAGTACAGCAAATGTAAATAGACGTGCCAACTACAAGTCAGAAATGATCAGATATCATCGGAAAAGCGTGACCCAACTCTGTCTGTCTAGGAAACCCAATTTAAATATGGACGCTACCCATGTAAACCCTATGGAAAAAAAAAAAACTACAGAGGCCATATTTACATCACATAAAGTAGACTTCAGCACAAGAAACATTCCATAATGATAATTTATTAAGGAAACATACCATCCTAAATGAGATAACAATAGAACTTCAACGTACATGAAGCAGAAACTGCTAGAAATTGAGGAAGAAATAGACAAATCTACAACTGTCATTAGTGATTTCATCACTCCTCTCTGAGTAATGGATAGAGCAAATAATCAGTACCATATAGAAGACTAGATCCACACCATCAGCCTAACTGACCACTGTGTAATAGAGAACACTTTTGCTACCCACCACCCAACCACAGCACAACACATCCTTTATATGTGAACATGAAACTTCCATTACGATAGACCATATTCCAGGTCATAAAACTAGTCTCAATAATGTGAGATAACCGAAATCATACAAAGTATGTTCTCTGACCACCAAACTAGAAAGAAATGAAAGATCTTAGGAAAATCCACAAATATTTAGAAAATAACAGACTTCTAAATAATCCATAGGTCAAGGAATAAACCATAAACAAAATTAGTAAATACTTTGAATAAGAAATTTAGGGGAGCCTGGGCAGCTCAGTTGGTGAAGCGTCTGCCTTTGGCTTGAGTCATGATCTCAGGGTCCTGGGATTGAGCCCCGCCTCAGGCTCCCTGCTCAACGGGGAGTCTGCTTCTCCCTCTCCCTCTCCCCGCCCCCATACTCTCTCTCTCTTTCAAATAAATAAATAAAATCTTAAAAACAAAAATTTAAGAATTTACCAAAATTTGTGGGCCACAGCTAAAGGTGAGGCTTAGAGAAATTATATAGCATTAAGTTATTAGAGAAGCACAGTCTCAAGTCAACATTCTAGTCTTCCACCTAAGAATTTAGAAAAAGAAGAGCAAATTAAACACAAAGCAAGCAGAGGAAGAAATAAGAAAGAACAGTAATTAATGCAAAATAGTAAAATAATAGGAAAATCGATGAAACTCAAAGCTAAATTCTTTCAAAAGATTAATGAAATTGAACCTCGAGCCAAACCAATCAGGAAAAAAGATACAAAGTATCAAAATGAGAAAGGAGCCATCACGGCAGAATTTATAAACATTTAAAAAAAAACAAAAAACAATAAATAAATAAATAAATAAAAAGAGAAAATTATGAAAAATTTATTGCTGATACATTCAACAGGTTAGATGAAATGACACAGCTATTGAAGGTCACACCAAAACAGAGATAATTCAAGTAGCCCAAAAGAAGTTGAATTTATAGTTAAAAACCTTCTCACAAAGAAAACTCTAGGCCCAGATGCCTTTGCTGTGAATTCTACCAAAGGAAGAAGTAATGAGAATTCTTTAAAAAAAAAAAATCTTAGAGCTGAAAGAAGAAGGAACATTCATTTTTTGAGGCCAATATTACACCAAAACCAGTCAAAGATTACAAAAACACTACAGACCAATATCCATCATGAACATAGACAAAAACATTAACAAAATTTCAGCAAATAGATTCCAACAATATATTTTAAAAACAATAAATTTCTATCAAGTGGGACTTTTCCTGGGAATGTAAGATTGGTTTAAGATTTGAATATCTATGTAATTCATCATATGATCAGAATCTGGGGGGGTGCATATATGGTCAGAAAAAGCATGTGACAAAATTCAAAACCCAATCAAAATTAAAACTCTTAGCAAACTTAAAAGATGAGGAAACTTCCTGAAATACATGGGTGAAATCATATTTGATCGTGAAAGGCTGAATGTGTTCCCCCTAAGACTGGGAACAAGGTAAGAAGGGCCAATCTCACCATCTCTATACAACATTTACTGCAGGTCCTAGCCAGGGCAAGAAGGTAATTAATAGAAAATGAATGATATGCAGATTAAAAAAGGAATAAGTAAAACTGTTTGTACATGACATCATTATCTATGTAAAAAACCCTGAGAAATCAACAACAAAAAGGCCACTACAGTTCATGAGTGTGTTAGCAAAGTCAATATGCAAAAATCAATAGTATTTCTCAATACTAGCAGTCAACAATTGGAAAGTGAAACTGTAAAACATTTACAATAACACCAAAAATATGAAATACTTTAAGAATAAATTTAACGAAACACATGCAAAAGCTGTCCACTATAAAACATTACTGAAAGGAAGACATTCATGCATTAGAAGGCTCAATATTATTAAGAATTCAAATTTATCAATCAATTCAAAGCAATCCCAACCAAAATCCCAGCAGTAAGGTTTTGGAGCAATTGATAAGCTATTTCAATAATTTACATGGAATGTAAGGGACTTAGAATAGCAAAAATTATTATTTTTTAAAAGATTTATTTACTTACTTACTTAACCTACTTATGAGAGAGAGAGAGAAAGTGGGGAGGGGAGCAGAGGGAGAGGGACAAGCAGACTCCATGCACTGAGTGCAGAGCCCAGTGTGGGGCTTGATTCCACCACGCTGACATCATGACCTGAGCCAAAATCAAGAGTTGGACACTCAACTGACTGAGCCACCCAGGGCCCCCGAGAGCCAAAATTAATTTGAAAGACCCTGAAACCTGAATAATTTAAAACCCACTAGACAGCTTCAGTAGTCAAGACAGAGTGGTATTGGCTAAAAGATAGAGATACAGATCAATGGAACAGAATGACGTATCTAGAAATCGATCTTCATATATTGTCATTTTTTTTATGATGGTGCTGTAATGGGCAAAATCTATATCCACTTAATACCTTAGAATGTAACCGTATTTGGAAATAAGATATTTGCAGAAGTAATTAGGTAATAATGAGGCCATACTGGATTAGAGTGGACCCAAAATCTAATTCTTGTAAGATGAGGGAAATTTGGACACACAGGGAGAATGCCATGTGACTATGAACGTAGAGATTGGAGTGATATGGCTATGAGCCAAGGAATATGGCTATGAGCTCTTCCCTAGAGCCTTCAGAGGGAGTGTAGCCTTGGCAGCAGCTTGATTTTGGACTTTCAGCCTTCGGAATCATGAGAGAATAACCTTCTATTGTTTTTAGTCACCCATTTTGTAGTAATTTGCTATGGCAGCCCTAGAAAACTAATACTGGTGACAAGGTTCTTCAAAATTAAAGCCTTTCAACAAATGATGCTGAAGATATTAGATATCCATGTGGAAAAGTATGACTTTTTATCCTTTCCTCACACCATATAAAAATGAAGTCAGAATGGATCATAGACCTTTTAAAGCTAAAATTATAAAACCTCTAAAAGAAAGGAGAAAATGTCTGTGATAGCTGATTTGAAAGATATCTTAGGACACAAACCTTAAAAATATATTTTTTTAAGTTCAAGTACAATCATAATTAAAAAAATAATAAATGAGACTCATAAAAAAAAAAGCTTTTGCTTTTTAAGACATCCCAGGAAGACCATGAAAAGGCAAGCCATAAAGAAGGAAAATATTTACAAAATAGAAAAATATCTAAAATATACAATGAATTCTTATACTTAATATTAAAAAAGAAAAACCAATCAAGTTTTTAAGGGAAAAGATTTGATCAGAGGCTTCATTAATATCGATATGAAAAACCAATGAAAAACGGTCAAACTTTATTTATTTAGTTATTAGGGAAATGCAAGTTAATACCACAATGAGATAATACTACACATCCTTGAGAATGACAGAAATTAAAAACTGACAATATCAAGTGTGGACAGGCATGTGGAACACCTGGAACTCTAATACGGTACTTATGGCAGTGCAAAAATGTTGAGTTATCTTGGAAGACAGGCAGGTTCTTTAAAAGTTATGCATACACTTGACCATACAACCCAGGAATTCCAGAAGAAATAAAACATATGCCCTCACAAAC